GTGCTGCCAGCAGGTCAATCTGTACCTGTGAGGCGAGTGCATCAGCCTCATGGTGCCTTCAGACCTCCAGATACCCCAAAATTGCTGCTGTGCCTTTGGCCAGACCCCAAAAACTTGGGGCAAAGTTTACCAAGAAAGTAAACAGCCAAAAGTTAGGTATGTGGGAAACACACCCACAAACCACCTCCAGCTCAGCTATATAATTGGACGCAAGGCCTCTCTGGCTCCTGATTGAACTGCTTAATGGCCATGATCCCAGAGACTCAGAAACAAATCTCAAAACCCAGCGGCTTTTGGCAGAAATGTGTCCAGACCCTACAGTAGGTTACCAGTGCTGGGCCAACCCAGGTGGGAATAGGTTTCGTGCCTTGGCCTGTTCCCCTGGGCCGCCATCCTTCAGAGGGCACTGGATAGTCAGGTTTGGGCCCGCAGTGACGAGACACAAAGGGCCTCATGGGATGGGGGTGGAGCCGGGCTTGTCCTCCCCACCCCAATGAGACCCCAAGTCATTGCCCACAAATGGCCTCTCTGGCTCCTGATCAAGCTGCTCAACAGCCATGATCCCAGAGACTCAGAAACAAATCTCAAAACCCAGTGGCTTTTGGGAGAAATGCATCCAGACCCCACAGTACGTTACTGTCGCCGGGCCACCCCAGGGAGGAAAGGGTGTTGTCACTCCGCCTGCTTCCTCTTGGCGGCTTGGTGGCCATCATCCTCCAGAGGCCATTGGACAGTCAGGCTTGGGCCCGCAGTGACGAAACTTGTTGGGCTTCACGAGATGGGGTGGAGAGGGGCCTGCCCTCCCCACCCCAACGAGACCACAAATCATCGCCCACGAACGGCCTCTCTGGCTCCTGATCAAGCTGCTCAACAGCCATGATCCCAGAGACTCAGGAGCAAATCTCGAAACCCAGTGGCTTTTAGCAGAAATCCCTCCAGATTTAAGTGTTAAAATTTCGGAATTTCAAAATCACATGGCCCTACTGCAGCCACGCAACATCATATGTTATTCATAACCAGCAATAAAACACAAATTGTCTACTGTTTCCTTTTCAGCAGATCTGAGTGTTGGGGTAAAATCTCAAATAATAATGGTGGGTCTGGTGTCGAAATATTGAATGTGATCAAAGTAGAGAGAGAATAATGTGGAAATCATCTGTCCCACAGGCAGGGGGAGGGTGTGGGATGGGTGTACACTGGGGTTTTTGGTGGTGGAGAATGGGCACTGGTGAAGGTATGGGTGTTTCATTGTATGACTAAGACTTAGACCAAAAGCTTTGTAACTGCTCTCACGGTGATTCAATAAATAAAATTATAAAAAAAATTAATTATGCCAAAAACGATTAAAACTTAGCCATAACTTCATGAAAGAGAGAAAAAGACAGTGTCAGAGATAAAATCAGACAGACAGAGAATGAGAACAGAGGAAGGAAAAGGGAGGAAGGAGGGGGGAAGGAGAATAAAAAAGAGGAAGCAAGAAAGGAAGTGATAGATGGAGAAGAGAAATGTCATAAAACATAAATAATAGATAAAATTGGGTAAATGGCATGGAAAAATTTCTGTAATATTGTATATTTAATATTGTATCAAATTCATATTCCATAAGAAAGATGAGTTATCAAATAAAGATTATTCTCTGTCTGTGGTTCCTCTTGCTCTCATAGAACCATAGAAAAAATAATGAGTAAATAAATACTTAATTTACCTTTCCATAGAGTTTTGTGTAGAGCAGGTGAGGTGAACAAGAAGGTCCTTCTGAGCTAAGATGACCTTAGAGACTCCTAAGGAATGAGGTTCAACAGGGTTCCTCAGAGCTGAGATGACCTTATAGCCTCCTAAGGGAGGTTGAACAGAGTTACTCAGAGCTGAGGTGACCTTATAGCCTCCAAAAAGAGGTTCAACAGGGTTCCTTAGAACTGAACTGACCTTTAAAACTCCTGAGGAATGATGTTCAACAGGGTCCTTCAGAGATGAGATCATCTTAAAAACTCCAGGGAGGCTCTAGTGATAGTTTCCATGAATCTCTGAGGTTGAGTCATTTTCTTTTTAACTTTAACCCTGGTGCCTTTTGCAGTATTCCAATAGGTAGATAGAAAACAGCAGTCACAGAGTAGATGACAGATGTGATCCTCTAAGGTTCCTACCTTGTAGGATTGTTTCACAACATTTACCCAGCTGTACTGGTCTATGTCCTCTATCTAAAGTTTATAGGTTACAAAGTATCCCCTTAAATTTCTGAACCATGCCATACTCTATAGATTGACAAAGTGCTGTTCCCTTGCCGGAAGATAGTGAAGGAAATGATCCACAGCCCAGGTAAAGACACTGAGGTGCATGGTGGGTCCCCAGGAGAGCATGACCACCCAGATGCCCGTCAAGGCAGAAAAGTGTTTGTCCTATCACTGTTCATTAGGGGAGCACCTGTTTATGACCTGATGCCATCCCACAGATGGGGCTCAGTGGCTAAATGCTGACGTCTAGAAGGGAAGAGAAAAGCAAAAAGGGAATAGGAAGATTAACTAAGGACAATTAATTGAGGGGTAGGTGAAAGGAGAGCAGTGAGGCTTGGGGACTGACTGCAAGGGGGCAAGTCTGGGCAAAGGCAACCCGGAAGGTCCTTGTCTGAGGGTAGATCTAAGAACAAGGCTACAGCACAAATCTAGCGGTGGCATCTAAATCCCAGCTAAAGAAAAAAATTTTGGTGGGGGCAATACATTGGGTGAGGCTAAGGACCTCTCCCAGTGGTGTTTGAGAGCCCATGAAGTGCCAGGGATCAACTCCCAGGCTCCCACATGCCTAGCACATGCTCTGGTCCCTTGAGAGATTTCCCTGTCCCAAAGTTTTGTTTTGTTTCTAAACCTAAAATACTGGGGTTGAAATCATTCACTTGGGATGAGCTAAGAATAACGCAGATTGGATTAGGGACAGCAGGCTTTCTCATTAATTGGGAAAATTTGCTCTTGTTTCTTTGGAATCTGTATCTGGATTTTTGTATGTGTGTTTCCTCACATAGTAGAAATTAACTTATATCTATCAAACAGCTGCCAACTGGCACATACCACATTTTAAGATTTTAAAGTAAGGGGGCTGGAGCAGTAGTACAGCAGGTAGGGCATTTTCCTTTGCAGGTTCGATTCCCAACATCCCATATGGTCTCCCAAACACTGCCAGAAATAATTTCTGAGTACAGAGCCAGAAATAACCCCTGTGCATAACTGGGTATAACACAAAAACAAAAAAAAAAAGATTGTAATGTAAAATGAAGGTCTCCAATTTTCCTTGAGTAGTGACAACAGAAAAATCCATCAGGGAATATAAACAGTACTCTGGTGGCAGGCGAATCAAGGTTTTTTCATAACCAGGAATGTGGAAAAGTTCTTAGATTTAAGCACATCACATTCTTCTGCTCACGGCACAAGAACCAGAAGTGTTACCATGGGTTGAAATGTTTAAGCACTGAGCTGGCAGGAGCTGAACCCAAATATTGAGGGTTAATCTTTGAGGGGAATGGGGGATGTTACAGGACTTACTCTTGGCTCTGTGCTCAGAGATCCCTCCTAGCAATGTTTAGGGAATCATATGTGGTGTCGGGGATGGAACCTTGGTCAGGCACATGCAAGGAAAGTGCCTTACCTGCTGTACTATCTCAATAGCTCCAATTATGTCCCCCTGCATGTCACAGGGGCTCAGAAGGGTTACCATGTGTCAAAAAGTTCCTAACACTGTGCTCAATGCAGACATTGAAAGCTTCCTGGAGCCTCTGGAAGACTCTGCATGGAATAACAATAAGGGGCTCATTACCTTCTTTCACACACCTCACTAATCCTTGCTCTGCCTAAAAACAGGACTCTGAGGTTAGACCAAACTTGGCTCCTCAAAGAGTCATCAGGACTTTGCGATGCCAGACCCTGGTTTCTAGGACATAAAGTTTTCTCTAAACACCCTGGGAGAAACAGAGGAGGGGCTTTCCCAGAGCACATGAGCAATAAACAGTCAATTCACGGGCTTACATGAAGACATTTGACCTCCAGGACAGAGTGATGCATCATCTTTCAAGTTTAGAAGGCAGAAATGGTCCCAGAAGCTCTCAAATAGCCACTAGCATGGTCTTCTCTTGCCATCTATGGTTGTAAAATTCAAACTCAACCCCCAAACTATTAGCACAGGATCCCCACTTTATGTGTGTTTCCTTGACATACCCTGGGCTTCTTGAGAGGAAGCAAAGGACTTCCTCTCTCCACTTTGCCCTTGAACTGTTAAACAAGCAAGTTAGGTTCTTGGTGGCTTGTGTTGAGAATGTGACACCTAGTGGAAGATAGAGGGATCATTGAATAGGTGATGAAAGCAAAGACTATTTGTAGCTAAGTCCTCAAATGCTCTTTGGATGGGTAGAGATGCCCTCCAATGGCCTCTTCTGGATCAAAGTCTCAAAGCAAAGAGATGGCCAGAGGAAGTAGGTTGAGTTCTATTTTAATTTGATGTCTTGCATTCTGTTCCTTGTAAAACTAGCCCTTCCCTTTATCACTAATCACTCCTGTGGCTTGTTGTTTCTACTTCCTGGGGATGGCTGAGCAAAATCATTGGGAGAAAAAAAGAAGCAGGGAGTTTCTTCCAGGGACAACCCGGGCAAGGATTGTTTATGGAGTACTCACTCTGCCTTCAAGTTCCCATCATCTACTGTGACATCCCCTTCAGTAAGCTAAGCTTCAGAATTCTCAGTAATCCCTGACCTCACGCCCAGTCTGGGTGGTCCAGGTTTTTCCAGAAAATACATAGCCCTGTGTGTGCTTTTTCAAGCTGCAAGGAATCACTTGCATAGCAAGTTCTGAACGAGCCTTTATGGAATATGTACATTATCGCAGATGTGTCATGATCTGGATCATGGGAACGGGCACAGGTGGGGGGACTTTGCGATTGGTCTGAAGCAGAGAGGAGTTTCTGTGTTTAATGACAAACTGATCAGAAGGGATCTGGGTATGTTATGACATGAGGTGACAGTATCAGACTGTAGCCTGGAGGGAGGTAAGGAGCCAAGAAATTGCTCCCTGAACAATGAGGAGGCCAGCAAGCGAGAGGTGCCACAGAGATGTGCCAGAGCCTGTGAGGGACACTGGTGCAGCCCTGAACCCCGCGGGGGTTTTGTCTTGGGCTTCCACTTTGCCTCCAGATGACTCCAGGCAGGGCCCACGAGGAGTTGGGATGATATCTGGGATCCAACCTGTTGTGTTTTCCACCACCTCCTGTAGGAGAAGAAAGAAAACGGATCCATGTAGAAGCATCCTCATACCGTTTCCTTTCCTTGGACCTCACTTGGTTGTTTCCAAACCTCACATACAATCACGGGGGTGGGGGGACTCCAATCATACCCTCACCCAGAACAGAAACAGTCTGTCTTTCTCTTTCCTCAACTTCTCCTTCCCTGACCCACCATTCCCTGGTCATTTCCTTCCCTCATTCTCTTTTTTTCTGGCTTTTCCCAACACCAACCATTTACAGTGTATTTATACTATATATAAGTACATTTATATACATTTATATCTAAATATATATATATACATTTATAGCGTATTGACTCACATCAATGGTCTTTATTACCACTGTCTGCTGGGCCTCCTTGCAGGCCTTTTCTGCTGTCTTTATGTTTTCTGGTGTCCAATCAACATTGCTTAAGGCCATCACACCATCCATGGAACTGCCATGGGAGAGGGGAAATCGACAGTCACTAAGTGTTAACTAAAAGCTTTGACAAAACCTGAGTAGTGTGCCCTCACTTTTATCAGTTCCACTCTGGGTGAACTATAAGGGAAGATTTACAACTTGAGAAAATCATGAGCTTAGCAGAAGGAGAAATAACATTAGAACTCAGGGGTTAGAATTTTAATGAGAAAGAGGAACATCTGAAAGCCATGATGTCAAAGGCAGTCAAGGAATACTTTCATTTTTGCAGGGGTGGAAGCACAAATAGCAGTGCACGGGACTTACTCCCAGCTCTGCACTCAGGAATCACTCCTAGAAGTGCTCAGGGAACCCTCTGGGATGCCAGGAATCTAACCTGGGTAGACCGTGTGCGAGACAAATGCTTTACAGACTGTCATTTCTCTCCAGCCTAAAGGAATAATATCCAGCAATGTAAACTCATGAAATCGTATGAGAAATGGGATTAAGGTTGCTTGCACCAATGTATGTTTTTCTTAGAGTCTTTCATCAAAGTCTTAGAAAAGACTCATCCTTAAATAAGTAATGCCTCTTCCTTGAAAGTTAATAGTCTTGAACTGAACTGGGTTGTGCATGAGAATAAAAATGCAGACAAAGAATGTGTGCATACCCAATAAGAGAGGGAGAACAAAAGGGAATGCCCTGCCACAGAGACAGGGTGGGATGGGGGAGATGGGGGGTGGGAGGCATACTGGGATCCGTGGTGGTGGGAAATGGGCACCGGTGGAGGGATGGGTATTTGATCATTGTATAATTGAAACCCAAGCACAAAAATGTGTAAGTCTGCAACTGTACCTCATGATGTCTCACTATTAAAAAATTTTTTAATAAAATAAAAAAATTAAAATTAGCTGAAAAAAATATCCTTAGTTAAAATTACTTTAAGTAAGGGGACAATGTGGAGGATGGTAGGGACCTGGGGCCTGGAGTGGGATTGGTGGTAGAACATACGTGCCTGAAACAATAATACTATGAGCAAGTTTGCAAATCATGGTGTCTTAATAAAAAATAAATAAAAAGAAATTAAAAAAAAAAGAATGTGTGCATAAGGGATCTAACTTATAGTGGTCAGTTTCTCTGCTCTACTCTCCCAAATGACCACAGTGATATGGAAGAAATCCCAGATCCTGTCTTATGTCAGAACTTTGAGAAGTGAGATGCTGCCAGGACCAGAAGGGCATCCTGAAGAGCATCCTCTCTCACTGAGTTTGGCCAAAAGATACTTCATCTCCCCCACCCCCTGCCAAGTCCTCTGTAGGACCCCTCTGACAGATACTTTAGGCTCTTCCGGGATGACTCACTCTGTTGCCTCCTCCCCCAGTTCGTGGACCACATAGATGATGTCAGGGTAGCCCATGCAGCTGGAAATGTTGTTTCGGGGATAATAGAAGAGGAAGATGAGGCACATCTCATTGATGGTGCTGGGACCTCCCTGGAGAAGGAGAGAGAAACAGGAATGGAGAGACGAAGAGGCCAAGGGACGTAGAGGGAGAGACAGAGGCTTGCAGAAAGGAATTTGAATGGATCTTATGGTGATATTTACATAATCTTTGCCATCGTCTTTCCTTTCTCCTCCTCTATTTCAAACTTGTAGATAATTATGATGTTATTTCCAAAGAAGTATTCCCTCCCAGTGCTCACTTTTAGACTTGGTTTGAAGATGAAACAGGGCAATGGGAAACATAAGGCACATGTTGCCTTTCAGGGCCTGGAAGATACTACAGGAGGTAGTACATTCCTTGCATGCCTGGGACCCCAGTTTGATACCTGGCAACGAGTGATCCCATGATCATCAGAGTACAGTGCAGATGGTCCCCGAACATTGCCGGGGTTGTCCTGGTGGTTCCTAGAACTGCAGGGCCTGAGTAGAACTACATCCTTGAACCCTAGCATTGAGCACTCTATTCCGGTTGGCTGAGAATCCCCAGGAGTAATTAGAGAGCACCACTTGGGAGTTCCCCACTAATACGCCACCCACTTCTGGCCGCCACACAAAGAAAGAGTGAAATATTTCTCTTTTTTGAGTTTATAATTCCCCGTATCTACCTATGTAGAGCAGAATTCACTCACATGGCCCACATGCACAGTTTGTTGTAGCAGGACCATTGGGATTTGCCCATTGGATTCTCTTCTTGCATAATCTCCATGCTTCTCTCACCATGTCTGACACTTCCACCCTATACTGCAATCAGCTGGTATTTTATTCCTTAATAGCATACCGCTCCTTTCCGGTCTTACTAGCACTAAACCATTCTATATTTTTTCCTATTTGGTCCATTTAATTTCATTAAAAATTATTTAAGTCACTGTGTTTTATTTGCTCGAGCGGGCCCAGTAACGTCTCCATTGGAGACTTTGTTGTCACTGTGTTTGGCATATCGAATACTCTCCGTAGCTTGCCGGGCTCTCTGAGAGGGCCGGAGGAATAGAACCTGGGTCGGCCATGTTGGCCGCTTGCAAGGCGAACGCCCTACCGCTGTGCTATCACTCCAGCTTTATGGGGCTAGAGCGATAGCACAGCGGTAGGGCGTTCGCCTTACAAGTGGCCAACATGGCCAACCCGAGTTCGATTCCTCCGCCCCTCTTGGAGAGCCCGGCAAGCTACCGAGAGTATTCAATATGCCAAACACAGTAACAACAAAGTCTCTAATGGAGACATTACTGGGCCCGCTCGAGCAAATTGACGATCAACGGGAGGGCCTTTACCTTTACCTTTACCTTACTGTGTTTTATAATACTGCTGATTATAGGCCTTCTAGGCCTTCGTGTTTAGCATGTTCCAGATAACACCCTCCATCAGAGTGTCCACTTTCCTTCACCATTGTCCAAGTGTCAGTTTCCTCCACCCTCAAATGTTATTCCTCCCTTGTTCCCTCCTCTGTGGTAAGCTTCCTACTCAAGACCAGTTCTCAAGTTCCTGTTGCCTTCGGGAAATTTGTTACACCCCTACTTTCCTTCTGCACACTATGGGCTCTGATTAAAATAACAGCTGTTAACTCGAAGTTCCTTTCACAAGTCAGGCAAAACTATTGGTGTTTACCTTCACTCCAATCTTAGGAGATAGAAGTATTAGTGATGGCTTATGAGTTAAGATGCTAACATAATAAAGATGTTGAATAACTGGGGCTGGAGCAATAGCACAGCGGGTAGGGCATTGGCCTTGCATGCGACAAACCCTGGTTCGATTCCCAGCATCCCATATGGTCCCCTGAGCACCTCCAGGAGTGATTCCTGATTGCATAGCCAGGAATGACCCCTGTGCATCACCAGGTGTGAACCAAAAAACAAATAAACAAACAAAAATACACAAACCTGAAAAACTGACAGCCAAAAATAATATATCCTACTTGATTCCGTTTGAGATATGAGAGGTATAAAGGCCTTCCCTGACAAAAGCTGAATGAGGACACTAATTAAAAAAAAGATGTTGAATAACTTCTTAAAGTTAAGACTGTAGTGATGGTGTAGATATTCAGACCTGGGCTGTGGGATTTCAGCTCCATGCTGCCTTTCCATGATTGTAGTAAGTTATTGGCTGAGAAAGCAAGAAACCCTTGAACTTGCCTTAGAATTCTGGGGGTCTCAGAACCTCAGCAGTCAGTATGGGTGGATAATACCTAGGGTGAGGCTTCAGCTGGAAAAACTGTGATCCTTAGATAGCCAAGGCTGGGAGAAAGCTCTATTCTGGGGCAGTTTTTACTGTGGGGGAAATGTACTTACAAAAGTCAAGGAGTCTCTGTCCAGTGTTTGGTAGTGACATTGCACCAGCAATTCATCTCCCTATTCAGAGTGAAACACCATGGTAGAAGTGAGTCATAGAGGACTGTGGCCTGTCTTAGAACTTTCTGGGCTAATAATGAGGAACCCTGATCCTGACTGTCCCCCCACACAACCTCCCCCCAGCTTCAGTCACTCCTTCCCCAGGTCCCCACCGGTTTGATTTCCACTCGATGAGGTAAATCTCGAGTCTCCTGCAGATTGAAGTCATAGGCGTCATCTTTGCAGATTGTTCGATATTGAGTTCCATTCCTAGTGGGAGAGAGGAAGAGGAAAAGAGTTAGAGGAGAATGAAAAGAGCAGGGTATCTAGTATAATAAAGCAGCAATGTACAGGGAGAAAAGATACCCAGAAAGCACAAAAATCTCCTTTTGCTCTCTTGTTTCATTCATCTCTACTCCGGTTAGTTCTATTCCCTCCTAACTGCAATGAAGCACAACTATATGCTGTACAATACACAACTATTTATGATAGTTACTCCTAGGTGCAGATGAGAACTCTTTGAATTCATGCCTTCCCTTACCTGTACTGTACAGCCTGCAGTGATCGCCCAGCCAAATGGGTGTGGAGCAGGTAGCCATACACCTGTATGTCAGGTATTGAACCTCCATTCATCTGTGACAGGAGATACCTCGAGTTTGTGACAAGCATTCATCTGGCCCTGCTTCTTGGTTTTCTTCCCCTGACAGTTGGCATCTTCCTTTTAGGTCTGTCACCCACCCCTTTGCTACTCACTTTCTTTTTCAAACCCTTCTCCTTGTCCCCCCAACCCTTCCCTTCTTTGCATGTTCCAACTTAATCAACTTCCTGGAAGGCCAGGCTGCTGTCTTTCCCCATGTTTGGGGATCAGACTGAGCCTTGGAAATCAGACCAGTTATGTGGTGGGGAATAAAGAACCTCAGGGTGAGTGGGCCTCCCAGTGTCACCTCCACAAACTTCTCCGTCTTACACAGCCCATAGGACATGAAGGACTCAGCACCCGGGGGTAGGAAGTGGATGGGAAAAGTGTAGAAGCCGAGCTGGAGCACGCCCATGTCGTATTTGCGCAGCCGTGCTGTGTAGTACACTCGGATCCCCGAGGAGTCGTATATACCTGGTGCAGAAAGGACTGCTGATTCAGGCAGGAGTATGGGACAGGGACCAGGGGAACTGGGTATCTGGGGGTCTGAGAACTAAAGGAATCACCCAGCTCCCTAGACACTCCCCTCTGGTTCTTCCATGAATGCCCTTAGATGCTCACCAGCACGGTTGTGGAAGTTGCTGTAATGAATCTCCAGGCGGATCCACTGGGGGTCCATGGGTGTCCCGATAGAGATGCCCACATCATCTGGGAACTGGTAACTCTGTTGCAGGGGCAATCGGCAGCAAAAAGAACTGAGAACTGGCTGGATGCAGCCTTCCAGAGCATTTTTTTCCCTCCCATACCTACTGGCTTGGGCTGGAGAGATAGCATAGTGAGTAGGGAGTTTGCCTTGCATGTGGCTGACATGGCCAACCCATGTTTGATTCCTCCGCCCCTCTCAGAGAGCCTGGCAAGCTACCAAGAGTATCTCGCCTGCACGGCAAAGCCTGGCAAGCTACCCGTGATGTATTCGATATGCCAAACACAGTAACAACAAGTCTCACAATGTTACTGGGCCCGCTCGAGCAAATCGATGAACAATGGGAGGACAGTGACAGTGACAGTGACCTACCCTCTCACCAGCGTCCCATCAATCCAGTTACCATGTTCCTGATCACTGTTTCCCCCAGCCACCTCTTTCCCTCCTCAGGACTCACAGTGCCACCAACTGCCCAGCCCACGACGACCTGGGAGCAGAGGGAGAAGGCAGGGTCTGCCCCATAGCAGTCGCTGACACCCGTGGGGAGTGCACTGGCATTGCCGCAGGCATAAACCAGGATGTGGTGTACCATGCTCTCATCGTGCTCCACCAGCTTGGGCTCAAACTGTGTGGGGGAGGAGGGCAAGGCACACTCAGATCTTCGATGTCGATTCCCTTCTCCTCATTCTTTCACCCCAGAGAAAAATTTCTTCCTCCGTAAACCCACACTTCCCCATTTCTCATTCTCTCCCAGTTCCTCCCTTCCCTGATCTAGAATCTTCACTGTTCTCTTTGGTCTGTGTTAGCCCCCACATCTCTAACCCTAATTTGAAAGTGTAGCATTCTACTTCTAGTTTGGAACTTCCCAACACCTCTGTTCTTTTTCATTTGATTTTGCTTTTGTTTTCTCTTCTTTTCTTTCTTTCTCTGATGTTTCTATCAATGTTCTGAACCAACCATGCCCATGACCCAGCTCAGGCTTGACCACATCCTGCCATGCCATCCTACTCACCTACCTTGTAAATATGATGCTTCTCGTTAACAATGGGAAGAGGGAGGAAGGTGCAGGCATAAGTGGTGTCATCCTCTGGAATGAGGAACTGGAGAAGGAGACACAGAGTCTGAGCTGGGGTGTGTGTGTGTGTGTGTGTGTGTGTGCGTGTGTGTGTGTGTGTGTGTGTGTGTGTAGCGAGGATTCCACAGAACAGAAGAAGGGACAGATGGAAGGGGTTTCCTTCATTACTACTGTGGCAATCCTTGAGCTCACTGGAGGAAATCCTCAATCCTCTGCCCAAGGCATATACAAAGTTTGGGGTGGGGGGGGTGGGCAGGTGGGAATGCAGGCAGCTGGGTAGCATGTAAAGGCTTACATCTGTGAGCTCCAAGTCGTGGATGATGGTGTCCTCAGGCACTTTCAGGTCATCTGGGTGAACAATTTGTAGCAGAAAGATGGACTTCACAAAAGTCCGCTCCTGATCCAGCTTCAGAGTATCATCTAGACCATAGGCTGTCAGCACCCTCACTGTGTCACCCTGCAGAGACATGGACAGGAAGATGTTATGCCCACAAGCAGCTCTTGATTCTGCCTACACCCAGGACTCACACACACATGGACTGGCAGTGACTCCCTTAGAGGCTTAGAACTAGCCAGTTCTAGTTTGGCTTTAGAGTCCCATCAGCTAGAGATATGGAAGCATCCTCTTTTGAGAGGCATGTCCAGAGATGATAAATGGCAGAGTGAAACAGCAAGATTCTTGAAACCCTTGGGTAGGTGCTGAATCACAGTTGGTGCTGAATACAGAGTCACTCAGTGTTTCCAACGGTGAGATACTGACTTCTGGGGGCACCAGAATAGCATAGCAGGGTGGTAGAAGCCTTGGGTGAAGCTGTGGAACACATACTGTTGATTCTATTAAAGATAGTAGATTTCCAGGAGGCAGTAGGCCAAGTATGTCTAGGGATGTCTGCTCTACAAAGCTTCTGGATATCAAGAGATGGGAGGTGGTACGTGGAAAGCAGCACAGGAAAAGGGAAGAGAGAGAGAGAGAAAGAGAGAAAGAGAGAGAGAGAGAGGCAGAAGCAGAGACAGAGAGAGAGGTAGATAGAGACAGAGAGACAGAAAAAGAGAGACAGAGACAAAGACAGACAGGAAGATAAAGAGAAGAGATAAAAAGTCAGAGAGAGATAAAGACACAGAGAGAAAGAGGAAGAGATAAATACAGAGGTAAAAAGAGAGATAAAAAGAGAGAACAGAAAGACAAAAATAAAAGTACAGTGAGAGAGAGACAGAGGGATGGAGGGAGAGAGTGACATCACCCTAGAACCGTGTCTGTGGGCTGACTTCCTGAGATGTGTGGGCATTGCAGTTGCAACTAAGTCGTCACATCTCCCCAGTAGAAAAGATTCTTCCTCCACCCTGTTTTACCGCAATGTCTAGGTCATGAGGATCACAGGAGCGGAAAGGCCTGGAGAAGCGCATGGTGGTGTAGACTTCATCTTCTGTTATTCCCTGCAGGGTAGCATCCTGACTTCCATCTGCCTCTAGAGTGTTCTCATCCACCAGATGCTGATCCTGGGGTTCAGGGAAGGTCAAGAAGTAAACTCTGGGTGGGAACCCCTTGCAGTCATGACTTTGGAGCAGTAGTTTCTTTGGTTGCCCCCAAGAAACGGTTAGTTGAACTCCAAATTTATGGATCCAGATCTTGGGATGGAGCTTGGCATCAGGGATGGGTATGGGGAAAGTGAGAAGGAGGGAGGGACAGTACTTGGATGGAGCTTGCTTCATCACCTGATTTTGCACTTACTCTCCTATGTTCAATTTTATCTCTTTATACCCCAATATTCTCTAGTTCTGCTTCTCTAGTTCTTGAAAGCTCACCCATTCTCTCTACCATCTATAGCATCAATTTATCTTCTCTTATGGTCCTTACCTTTGATATATCCATATAAAAAGTGTAGTTTACAATTGCTATGTTTGGGATATGGGTGAATTAACTGCTGCTGGTTCATTCATAAACTTACCATCCACCTTAGAGTAAGGAATGTAAGGAATTGGGAACAATGTCTCATAACTCAAAACTATCTAACAATTGTAATCTATTTTCCTTTTGTTTGGGGGGCTACCATCAGTGGTTCTCAGGGCTTACTCCTGGATCTATGCTCAGGGAATTCTCCTGGTAGAGTTCTTAGAGCCATTTGGGGTACCAAAAATTAAACCTGGGTATGCTGCATGCAAGGTAAACACCATACACTCTGTACTATCACTTGGGCCCCACTTTTAAGCTAATATTAATGCTTTTTCTGCTACGAGGCCACTTCATGGATTAGTCTACTTGATTGGGCTCTGAGGAAAGTGAGGATAAAGAAGGTAACAGCAAGTTTGACATCTTCCTCAGGGACCTGCATTTGTGGACTGTCAGCTCAGATCTCCCAGTTGTTGTCTGGAGGACTGAGGTGAACCTCCCCTCAGACCACATCTGCAGGACCAGGTAAGCAGTTCCAAGTTCTCTGGGTGTGTGCTGGAGATGTTTGGTAAGTGTGCCTTCTTCCTGAATTCAGAACCATCCTCAACCAAGGGCAACTCCTTCCTCCTTGGAAGTCACCCTCAGACTTACCGAGAAATAGATGTTGCCGTCGGGCAAGACACCTCCAACAACCAGATCACTTCCTGCTCTTGTATAGCGATTGGTGACCCCCAAACCCACCCAGCCAGTTGTCCGGACCTGGAGCTCAAAAACAATGATCTCAGCCTCAAGGTCAAAGTCCCAGCGCAGGAAAATGACATTGGAAGAATCGAGAAACCTGGAATAGCGCAGTCGAGAGGTTGGGCCAATGCGGTTGCCTAGGGAGGGAACTGCCAGGGCAACAAGGAGGACCACCCTGGGGAGAAGGGCACAGGTCATGGCTCCTGGGGAGCAGAGTATCTCCGCTGTAGAGGAACACTTCAGGTGGGGGTTCTTATATGTGCTTCTGCCTGTGCCAGGCACGGAGCCACGGAGGAGGGACAGAAAGACTCCTCTGATCTGATAACTCCCTGAGTTCACACTGGTGCCACTTACATAACCGTGGGGGGTGTGTTCAGGAGAGGATGGAGGAGATTGCCTCTTGACAATTCAGCAGGGACCTGGCATGAACTCTCAGAAGTAAATAATTCAAACTCTTCTTCCCTAACCCCATGCCAGGGTCATTTCGACAGGGATTCTGCAGAATCAAATAGACTGGTGATGCCTGCCTCTCCTCCATTTTCTTTCTCTTGCAACCCACATCTGTGTCTTTGGATGCCTTTATTCTGACCTCTGGCCCTTGCTGTATCCCATCTGGGTCATATGGGGGTTGTATCTGTCTTTTCTGTATAGTAGTACACATCAGTGTCGTTGTCATGTGGGATGACACTTGCAAGTGTTTGCCTTTCAGCCTCCAGGTACAGCCCAGGAAGGAGACAATGAGGAAGTTGGGGGAAAGGCTGAGATTTCCATCTCCTGGAGGAATCTTTGCTACTAATCCCTGGAAGGACGTAGAGGTAAAGGAGCCTTAATCAGCTTTCCAGATGGGCAAAGCTCTGAGTTTGTATACCTTTCTTCTGCAGGAAGAAGGAGGTAAGGGGGGGCTAGGTGTTCATTTTCCTCTGGGACACCGTGTGTTTCACCCTTCCTCCCATAAGGTGTCTTCAGAGGAGTCAAAAAGCCTGTCCCTCCCCTGAGGTGTAGTCCATACCTTCAGCTACAAACTCAGTGATGTTGCAAAAACAAACAAAATTGCAGGAGTGTTGGAATGTCAGCACATTCCAGTTAGAAGGAACTTGACATTCACTTAAATTTGCCAAAGTTCCAACCCACTCACTTGTTCAGGAGAGGAAACGTGAAGCACCAAGGCGGAGGGAACATGAAACACATATCTTACTGGTGGCAGAGCTAACGAGGGTACCTAGGACCTAGGGTCTTGCCCCTGGCCAGTTGTTCTCCATCTTTCACTGAGGTCACATGTACACAAGGTACCCTAGTTGCCATGATCAATGGCTTGTCCTGGAGGAGGGAGTTGATGTAGACTGATTGTGTTACAGGGAGGGGAACAAAGTCTCCCTCTAACCCCAGAGTTCTTTCCTTCCAGTGCCTGGCACAGCTGATTCAACAAGAAATTTACTTCGTACACACCGCCCTATGTCCTTTCTCCATCAAGCAATAGGTCATTCCTAATATACAGCAAGGAAGGTCTTGGACCACCTCTCTGCATGTAGATTGTTTGGCCCCTTTCGGGTAGATGAGAGCTGGAATTTCTTCTTTTTTGTTGATTGGGTTCATTGAAGAAAGTGAGCACCTGCATGGTACTGGGCTGTGGTGGGAGGGAAAAAAAAACACATTTTCCGAGGGGGCTACCCAACTCTGAGCATGGCAGAGAAGGGCTTGAGCTAGGCAGCCAGCTGGAAGGAATGGGCTTACCTGAGCCCAGGTTGGGGGCGGAGCCAAGATAGAGGAGAGGCCAGGGGAGGTGCTGACCTTGAGGAACAGCAATCCAGGGAGAAGATAACAGGACTATCCCAGACACTGTGATCCCAATCGCATTTAAGGATTAAAGCCACGGGAGGGCATGGGCAGGAGATAGGACAACCAGCCCTGTAAACTGAGATGGGCCCGGGATCCCTTATCCTGCAAGGTCTAACCTAAGCTCTGTCCTCGAGAGAGAGGTCACGCAGGTGAGCTGAGGCCCAGGGATGCCATCTAGGAATTGGCTTCTGGTCCTAATTGCTTTTCTCTGGACTTGTCTCTTCTTCTTTCCTTTGGTTCCAGTTCCAGTTCCATACTCTCCCCTAGCCTCTTTTCTTTCAAGGCTTTCCAGAGTTTATTCTCTTTCCTTCCAGAAAATGATGATGTGGAGTAGAAATAAGCTAATCAGGCAGGTGACTTCATATACCTGATAGATATTTTGTGCATCTTGAAATCATGCGCATTCAAAACAGGGTGACAAGGAAATGATTGATGATGTGACTAAACAAGCAAAACTGTTCATAAGGACAGTCTATGGGTTTAAAGAGAATCAATAATCACACATTCGCTGCAATGAAGCTAATTATAGACTGCATTATGCCAACACCAATGATATTTAGACAGTCTGTCAAAATCATTTAAGTTGAAGTATATGTATTAAAACTTTGCCAGATAACTTAGGCCAGGTAGACATAACACTCTGAACACTGACTATAATATAGTCCCTCCCTTGCCTCTGGGTCTCCATATTGCTGTCTGTGAAATGATGAGGTATGAGAGATGGTAAAATACAGATCTTTGAAATCTAATCCCCTAGATTACTGGGATTTAAACTTCCTGGGGGCAAAGGAAGGCCTCTTATTATTGCTAAAACCTGATGAGAAACTTGTCATTTTTTATCTAAATTGATTGATTACTAGGTGATAAAAGAAAGCTACCGCCACTACCTATAAAAGAAAGCTACCTCCACTACTTCCACTTCCCAGCTGCCACCATGCTCCAGGCTGCTTTCCGAACACTTGGGCGGAGACTCATGCATGAATAGTATTAATAGTAATTAATGCTCCCATTTTAATTGAACTGGTAATTACCATTGCAATAATAGAGGTCAACTCTAAGTGCTTAGTCTCTGCCAAACTCTAGTAAAGAATTTTAATATTTATTTAGTTGTCTCTGACATAGAAGTCAGGATTCTATCTTCCTTAGTACATTTCTTTGGCACCTGCATCTTTCAAATGAAGAAACTGAAGCTAAGATTCATATAGCTTGCTAGAAGCAGCACTATGAGTTATCGAGGATTAGGTATTATAAACTAAGTCTCTCTCTACCTTCAGTTTAGTATTAAAAATTCTGTTCCTCAACAAAGGACAAAGAGAAAGAAAGCAGTGTTATTACTGAATGAGCTTTCCATCAGAAAGCGATGTCCCTTCAGGCCTGTAGGTAAGAGATGTTTCACCTTTCCCATCAGCTCACAGACAGCCATTAATGCATGTTCTCTGGTCACCAACGCTGGGCTTGAATGACAGGACATTTTGTCACAGAGCATAGCCATAGTCACTTGGAAATTGCAGCACCTTACTTGTGCTTGCTTACTGGGTTTTACAAAGGGTAAAAGAAACACTTGTCCCATCTTGATGACAGAAAATCCTTTTGCAACTTGGTACAATGAGTCTACTCTGCTTTAAGTGAAGCTAAGTTCCTCTTCTGCCACAGAATCTGGGAGTTAGGATTCTTTATTCCTCAGTACATTCCAAAAAGATGACTGAAGTCCCCTGAGAGTCATCCTGGGATTTGATGAAGGCAAGAGATTAGTTGATTATGATGAGATTTAATACATTTCAAAGAGACACAGAGCTTCTAAAGTGAAATAAATGAAAGAAAGAAAGAAGAGGTGTAGGATAACATGGCTTTGTCCTTTCTCCCTTGCCACAGGATCTTAGGTTTATCGGGTCACACCCATCAAAGTGCTCCTGAGTCACTCCCAATCTTTTATTTATCTGTAACCTCTTCTCTATGTTCTCTTCCCCAATCTGTTAATCAGCTTTTTCCCCTAATCAGATTCTGTTCATTTGGAAGGTCAGATCTTTCTAGGACACTGAACTTGTATTATAAGTTAATATTGCCTTTCTCCTTCCCTTATGTCTTCCAAATAGTTTGCTTTAGGGCAATGTTCTTTTGTATAGACACAAGAAGACAATATTATGCTTTGTAACTTGGGATTTCATTGGCTTCGAATTTTATTCATTCCCGGGCATCTGCTTTCTCAACTTAAGTCTCAGTTGCCCTCACTTCCTAGCGCCCTCCAAAACAGGGTCCCAACGAGGAACTGGATGGAACCAGGGCAAGTGGTAAGCTATGTGCTACCCTGGCATTGAGATAGGCCTGGCCAAAGTGCCACAATTCTTTTTTTTTTTATTGAATCACCATGAGAACAATCACAAAACCTTTCAGTTCAAGTCTCGGTCAGTCATACAGTGATCAAATACCTGTCCCTTCACCAGTGCACATTTTTCACCACCAAGAGCCCCAGTATACCCCCCTCCCACCCACCCTCTGCCTATATGGCAGATTTCCACTTTGCTCTCTCTTTATAAGTTGATCACATTCAATACTATGACAAAAGACCCAACATTATTATTTGGAATTTTCACCAATATTCAGACCTGCCAAAAAGACATCATTAGATGATTCGTTTTCTATTGCTGTTATGAAGAACGTAAGATGTCTTGTGGCCACAATAGCAGCCACGCAAATTTGGGTTTCTGATATTTTAGTAATAAACCTAGAGGGATTACTGCCAAAAGCCCTTGAGTTCCAAGATTGGTTTGTGTGCCTCTGGGATCATGATCGTTCAAAAGCCAGAGGAGGCGTTTGAGGGTGGTAACCCGGAGCATTGTCATGGCGGGGAGTAGGCTGATTCCATCCCCCATCCCACGAGGCCCCTCGTGCCTCATCAATGCAGTCTCATACCTGGCTGTTCATTAGTCTCTAAAATATGCAGGCCTCCATGCTGCCACTGCAAGGGGGGACAGACAGAGGGACAGACACCCTTCCCCTCCCAGGGCGGCATAGCACCATAGTTAAATGCACAGTCCAGATGCATTTCGGTTGGGCATTTATATTTTTCTCAGATTTTCCCACCACCATTCAAGCCTGTTTTTCAGGGACAAACGCTAGATCATTTATTTTCCATTGATCACTTTGCATATCAGGAAATGTTGTGTGGCACGCAGCTCAGAAAATAGCAAGTTTTCTTTGCAGCTGTGTGCTGTAAGATGGCACTGGGGGCGGGTTGTGTGCATGAATTCTGGAATCAGAGGTTGCCAGGGAACTGGGGCAGTCCCCATGCGACTTGGAAAATAGTCCTGGTGCCAGAGTAGCAGAGCCATGCTTGTAGAAGCTCATGGTCACTGGGATTCCATCAGGAGAAGGTGGGGAGACAACACCTACCCCATCTGGGACCTCCTGGTAATATCGGCTCAGAACGGGGCCTGGAGAATTCTCTGGAAGTTGTGGAGCCCACCAGCCGATTTTCTTCAATGCTGTGAGCTGTAATATGGCGCTGGGGGCGGGTTGTGTGCATGATTTCCAGAATCAGAGGTTTCCTGGGAACTGGGGCGGTCCCCATGCAGCTCGGAAAATAGTACATGCCACAATTCTTAACTATAAGTTAAGAGCTTGATCATGGACAAATGCTGTCATGATCCAAAAGTAACAATGAGATTAGGACCCTGCTAGAGATAGGAAAGACTAATCTGGCCTGAGCGCTGTAGTCTGAGATCGGGATGATCCCAGGAGAGCAATTCTTTAAGCTTAATGCATCTCTTACTGTGTCCATACAAAATAATTAATATTATGAATGCTTATATGTTTGTTGGACAAGGAGAGGAAAACCACACCCATGGAATTCCAGCCCTGGGTGGGTCGTCCTGCTAAAAGAGAATCTGTCCTAGAAGCAGTATTCCCTGAGGGGAAGAACTTTAGCCCTATTGATTGTGACCACAACTATGTGAAAGTCCAGCCTCTCAAGGTTTTGGGGATTTAACTAGACTGTAAGACTGGGCTGGGGGATCAAGATTAAGATCCAGAGCCAGGAAAGAGGGGTTCCAGTGTGGGGCCTGGGAGAGAGGAAGACAGGAGTGAATAGGGATGAGAATAGAATAAACAGCATCTGATCAATCAACCGGTTTGGCCCTCACTTCCTCCACCGTCTTCCCCGTGCCTGGGCCACCCCAACTTGGGGAGCGGCCCAGGCCCTCCGAGATCCTGGGCGGCCAGGGGAAGAGCTGTCGGGGCCACCCCCTGGCTGCCTTGGAGTTTTTTACAAAGAGGAAGAAGAAGAAGAAGAAGAAGAAGAAGAAGAAGAAGAAGAAGAAGAAGAAGAAGAAGAAGAAGAAGAAGAAGAAGAAGAAGAAGAAGAGAAGGAGGAGGAGGAGGAGGCGGAGGAGGAAAGAGGAAGTAGAGGAGGTAGAGGAGGAGGAGGAGGAGGAGGAGGAGAAGAGAAGAAGGAGAAGGAGAAGAGAAGAAGAAGGAGAAGAAAGAAGGAGAAGGAGGAGGAGGAGGAGGAAGAATACCATCTATGGGTGTGTTTCTCTTTTTCTTAGTCCCATAACCATACAAACATTCATCTTAATTCTACTTCTTAATAATATTAGTCATTTTGTATGGACACAGAAAAAGATACATTAAGCTTATAGTATGGCTGTCCTGGAGACATCTTGCTATAGATCTCAGACTACAGTCCTCAGGCCAGATTAGTCTTTCCTAACCGTAGCAGAAATCCAGTTGTTACTTTTTGGATCGTGACAGAATTTGTCCATGACCATGCTCTTAACTTATAGTTAAGTATTATGGTGCTTTGGCCTGGCCCATCTCAATGTCAGGGTAGCTCACAGCTTGCCTTGGGTCCATACAGTCCCTCATTGGGACACTGCTATTGGGGTGTTAGGAACTAAGGGCAACTGAGGCTTGAGTCAAGAAAAAAAGATGCCCAGAAGTGAATATTATTTGTAGTCAATAAACTCCCAAGTTAGAAAAGCAGAGCATTAACTGTCTTCCTGTGTCTATATTAAAAAGAACATTGCTCTAAAGTCACTATGCAAAGGACATAGGAGAAGAAAAAAGCAATATTTCACTTACAAATACAAATCCACTGTCTTAGAAGGATCTGACCTTACAAGTTAACAGAGACTCATTAGGGGATAAAGGGGATTGACCCATTGAGGAAGCAAAGAACAGAGAAGAGGTTACAGATAAACAGAGTAATGGGAATGCCTCAGGAGCACTGTGATGGGTGTAACCCAATACACCTAAACTCCCTTTGGCAAGGGAGAAAGATATACCAATGTTATCCTACAGGTGCCCATTGCCCACAAGAGTCATGCTGCATCCTCTACACAGGTTATGCATGAGTGGGGGCAATGTCTTTCTTCATTTGACAAGCATGGGTTGCTTGCCTGGAGTTAGTTTCATCCTTTGCTAAAATTGAGGTCTCTGCCATTCTAGAAATGACTGGTATGGTGTTGAGAGGGGAGAGGGTCAGCCACATGCAAGTAGAAACTCAGTGAATGTGGGCGCACATGTGGGAGTGTGTATCAGCTGAGGGGAAACAGGAAAAGCATGCTCCAGGCTGAGGTCGGAGCCACAGCCAGAGCAGAGGAGACATTGAGTTTCCGGAAGAGCCATTTCCTTCTGTGTTTCAGACCCAGGTAGTGTCAACCACTGCATATCTCCTTTTGAGCCGGATCCTGCTCTTCTGCTTGGATAACTGCTTCCCACTGGCTGCTGAGAAGGTCCTGAAGGCCTGGGAATGGGGCCTTTTCCTGTTGTCTGGAGCTGGATGCTTCTGGCTACCTTGTGCACAGGTCAGATGCCAGAAAGACAAGACCACCCATTAGCTCAGTAGGTTGAGAGAGGGTAAGAGGCATTTGATCTTAGAGCACCCATAGGCCCAGAAGGTCTCCTTGCTTCCAGCCTTGCCTCGGGCAGGCATGGGCCCTCACCCCAAGGAAATGCTCCTGTTCCTGTTGGTCTCCTGTTATGTTAGCCATAGAAATGCCTTTATCTTATTTTTTTTCTGGATCACACTCTGTGGTGCTCAGGGATTACTCCTGGCCATGCACTCTGGGGACATTTCTGGTGGGCTCAGGGGACCATCTGGGATGCAGAGATCAAACCCGGGTTGGCTACATGCAAGGCAAGCCCCTCACAATCCCTCATCCGCCCCATCCATTGTAAGATAGCTCAGTCCTCTTTAAAGAAAATGCCTCTCTAACACTGGACTCAGTTGGCTATTCTGGGAAGGTTGTTATCTTCTGTACCTGCAGCCTGGCCTGGCTGTCTATGTGTTTCAGATGCCAGCTTTGTAGACCAAAATCCCAGATGGATCCTGGCCCCTTCAGGACAGGCTGTGACCCTGCAGTGCATCCTGAAGGACACCCAGTACCCCTGGATGGGCTGGTATCAGCAGGATCTCCAGGGGCAACTCCAGCTGCTGGCCATGCTGCGGAGCACTGGAGACACAGAGAAGATATCCTTGTCTGATGCCAACTACCAGCTCACTCGGAGCAGTGACACTGAACTGAGGCTGCAAGTGACCAACGTGACGCAGAGCAGAACCCTGTTCTGCACCTGCAGCAAAAACACAGTGAGAAGCCGGCACTGAATAGATGAATAAAAACTCCCTGGTTTCCTAACCACAGACCCAGGTCCCCTCCACTGCCCTGGTAACACTCCCTACCCTGCTTCCTCTCGCCCAGAAGCTCCCCCTTCTGGCCTTTTTCACTGTGAGGAGACTCTTGGGCCACTGCCTCTCAGCCAACACTCTGCTGGGACTCCACAGAGCTTTCCCTGAAGGCTCAGGGGAGGTGGGCTTAGGTACAGATCTTGCAAACTTTGGGAAAGATTCTATCTCCCCTGGGCCAGGGAGATAGTACAGGGCTCCTGGTATTTGTCTGACCTGGGTTAGACCCTTGACCATTGTTAACAGTAGTCCTGGGGGCCCTGGAAGTTGGCTTAGTGTGTCCCAGGAGGCCCCTAGCACTGCAATCTCAGGCCCTAATAGTGAGCCACTTTCTTATATCAGGGAATGGAGATCAAAAGAGAATTGGAGTGTGGGTTGGGCATTAGGGAGAGGGAGTTTCAAAGGCCCTGTCTGTTCTCTCTCTCCTTTTGGGTGCTATGGTTTGCAATAGAGGCCTTGAGTGGCAATCATGTTCAGTCTATAGTCTACTTTCAGCATGCATCTCCCATCCTGAGAGGACCCTCCCAACACCTTTATTTGGTGCTCCCTTTTCTATCTGAGCTGCCTTTTCCCCTAGCATGTGTGGCTGGCCTCCAAGCCATGGAGTGAAACTCCTGGTACTTATCTTGGCTATTCTTGGGTGTTAGTCTCCTATTTTGTTACTTTATGTTCCCCAGATGAATGCAATCTTTCTATGTCTGTCCCTCTCTTTCTGACTCATTTCGTTTAGCATGATACTTTCCATGTAGTGCCACTTGTATGTAAATTTCATGGTGGGATGGGGGGATGGGTAGTGGGAGGGATAATGGGATCAGTGGTGGTGGAGAATGGGTACTGGTGGAGGGAGGGGTACTCGATCATTGTATAACTGAAACACAAGCACAAAAATTTGTAAGTCTACAACTGTACCTCATGGTGTTTCACTAATAAAAATAAAATTTTTTTAAAAAAAGGCCCTGTCTGGAGTGTGTGTGCAGGAGCCACTTAGCTCAGCGTTGCTGGCAAAGCTGGTGGTGAGGGAGGAGATGGTTCCACGAGGGGGCGCCCTCTGCCCACAGATCTGCACAAAACGGGCTTCCATTTTTTGTCACCTCCCTTTGTACACCAGGAGCTCTGGAAATGAGGCCTGCCATTTTACATACCATTGGTTGAGCTGGGCCCTGGCTAGTCAGGCTGTGCTGGGTGCCCCCTCCACCATCCTCACCCAGGGTTTCACATACCCCACGATTTCCAATAATCACTGTCATGTGCTCTCAAGACACAGGGTCTTCCAACAGTCATCTGTGATCTCGAAAAGGGTTTTCCTTTCCTAGATCTAGCTGGACTGTAGAATAAAGTAACTAGAAACATGTGTCTACAATGATTCTTGAATTGCCATGAATTGCCACAACTCACACGTCCTGTGTTGAGAACAAAATAAACATTTAGGGAAAAGAGACCCTTTGGGGCTTGATGAAGTCACAGATGTCAGAACTTTCTACAATATGCAGATAGTAGAGGTCTACTTCTTTTTGAGAGGGGGACACGTAGGCAAAGTAGAAGCTGTCTGGGATCCGGGGAGATGAGGGACAAGTGAAAGGTGAACAAATGCCTTGGAGTGGAGTGTGGACTCAAGTAAGAGGATCTGACGCCAGGGGGCAGAAGTGATCTGAGTGGCTCAGCTGACACTGACTTGAAATTGTGACCAGCTCATTGTATGCAGACTTCCGGGAGATTCTCCCCAGTTCATCTTTTTTTTTTTTCTCCTGCCCAACAATTGACTCTAGATTTTAAAACATGCAGCTCCAGATGGCAGACTAACCACCTGAATTATCTTGCTTAAAAATGAGCAGGAGGGCTGGAGAGATAGCACAGCGGGTACCGCGGGTAGGGCGTTTTCCTTGCACGCAGCCGACCCGGGTTCGATTCCCAGCATCCCATATGGTCCTCTGAGCACCGCCAGGAGTAACTCCTGAGTACAGAACCAGGAGTAACCCCTGTGCATCGCCAGGTGTGACCCAAAAAGTAAAAAAAAAAAATGAGCAGGAGCCAGGAACTTTGGTTTTTACTCATTTTTTTTATCAATGATGCTTAGTGTTCACTTGATCACTTGACTTCCTGTTAATCATCGATTTGCTTGAGCGGGTGCCAGTAACGTCTCCATTTGTCTCTGTCGCATGCTAGTGCAGCCCAAAGGCGTCTGTTTGTTCTAGGAACACGAAGAACCTTAAACCGATCGTTCATGGTCTTGGTGAAGAAGTCTGACCATCTGGTAGGTGGGCGGCTACGCGGTCTTTTGACATCCCGTGGAATCCAGTCAGTAACAGCTCTAGTCCAGCGGTCGTCTTTAAATCTCATTACATGACCAGCCCATCTGATTTTTGACGCCTTGGCAAACGAGACAGCGTCCCTGATTCTTGATCATCGACAGAGGTCGAAACTCCGGATTCTTTCTCTCATTTGAGTGAAACGTGATATTCCAAGCATAGCTCTTTCAATTCGTCTTTGGGAGACCCGAATAGTGTTCTCATTCTGTTTGCTTAGGGCCCAGGTCTCTGAGGCATATGTTAATGCAGGAAGAACAGTGGAATCAAAGTGATGTGCCCGGAGCCAGAGGTTCTTTGTCCTCTTAGTTATTTCTTCGAAGCTCTTGAAGGCGTTCCAAGCTGCTCTTTTCCTCCTATGCAGCTCGGGTGCCAGGTCATTTGTCATGTTAACTTCTCGACCTAGGTACACATAACTGTTGCATTCAGAGATGGTCATTCCATTGAGAGCGAATGGAGCATCAGGAATGAGGCTGTTCCTCATAAACATTGTCTTTGTAAGATTCAGCTGTAGTCCGGCCTTTCCACACTCACGGTCGAAGTCAGCCAGCATTTGTGCCGCTTGGCTAATGTTTGGTGTTGTTAAAACAATGTCATCAGCAAAGCGGAGGTGGTGTAGTTGCCGACCATCTATCTTCACTCCCATTCTTTTCCATTCCAGTAGTCGCATGATGTTCTCAAGGGTGGCACTGAAGAGTTTTGGTGAAATGGTATTACCCTGCCGAATCCCTCTCTTGACATCAACGATTACTTCTTTGTAGAATGGTGAGATCCTGGTACTGAATCCGCAATACAGCTCACGGAGGATCTTGATGTATTGGGCTTGAATGCCCTGATTGGCTAGGGCTTCAATGACCGCTTCCGTCTCAACAGAATCAAAGGCCTTCTTTAAATCAATGAACGTTAAGCAGAGCGGCATCTTGAACTCCCGAGAAACCTCGGTAAGCTTGGTTATCATGTGGATATGGTCGATGGTGCTGAATCCTTTGCGGAACCCAGCCTGCTCGCATGGTTGTCCTTCATCTAGTGTTCTGCTAATCCTATTTAGGATGACTTGAGTGAACAACTTGTAGATGACAGACAATAGGCAGATCGGGCGATAGTTGCCAATGTTGTACATGTCTCCCTTCTTGTACAGTAGTACAGTCCTGCTGGTTTTCCAGTGGGATGGAAACTTGCACTCAGACAGGTTTTTACTCATTTTTCTTTATCAATGATTCTTAGTGTTATGAATTGAATTATACATTCCCCCCCCACACACACACACATTCTTTTTTATTGAATCAATTTAAGCTGCAGTTACAAAGCTTTCATGTTTGAGTTTCAGTCATACAATGATCAAACACCCATCCTTCCACCAGTATACATTTTCCACCATCAATATCCCCAGTATTCCTCCTCCACCCTATCCCACCCCTTTACCTGCCTCTATGGCAGACAATTTCCCTCTTACTCTCTCTCTCTACCTTTGGGCATTATGGTTTGCCATACAGACACTGAGAGGCCATCATGTTCAGTCCTTTATCTACTTTCAGCACACATTTTCCACCCCGAGGGATCCCTCCAACCATCATTGACTTAGTGATCCCTTCTCTATTCCAGCTGCCTTCTCCTCCAGCTCATGATGCAGGCTTCCAACTGCACACACACATTCTTATTTAGAAGTCTTAAGCCCAAATGTTATGGTATTTGGAAATAGGGCTTTTTGGAGATCATTATGTTTAAAGTTTGAGTATGGGAAATCAATCATGAAAATAGTTCCCTTATAAATGACATTTAAGAGCTTGCTTCCTCTCCCATCTCATGGAAAGACACAGACAACAGTAGGATGACATTAGTTTGTTCGTTCTCCCATTCTGCAGGGAGCGTAGGTTTATTGGGTTACACCCATCAAAGTGCTCCTGGGGCATGTCCATTCCTCTATATTTATCTTTAACTTCTCTGTGCTCTACCTCTATTTCCCCTATCTGTTAATCCCCTCTATCCCCAAATCAGACCGTGTGATGGTCAGATCTTTCTAAGGTCTCTGGATTTTGTATTTGTATGTGAAATATTGCTTTTCTCTTTCCCTTATGTCCTTTGCATAGTTTACTTTAGAGCAATGTCCTTTTTGTATGGACACAGGAAGACAGCTAATGCTATGCTTTTGTAACTTGGGAGTTAATTGGCTCCAAATAATATTTACTCCTAATCATCTCTCATATTTACTCGATTTAAGCCTCAGTTGCCCTTAGTTCATAGTACCCCAAAATCAGGGTCCCAACGAAGGGATTGGATGAACTCAGGACAAGCTGTAAGCTACCCCCTGGCATTGAAATGGGACAGACCAAGAACCATAAAACATAAGTTAAGAGCATGGTCATGGACAAATTTTCATGACTCAAAGAGAAGTGACTGTACAAGGACCCTGCTTTAGGACCCGCTACTTAGGAAAGACTAAACTGTCCTGAGGACTGTAGTCTGAGATCTATAGCGAGATGTACCCAGGAGAGTAACTCTTTAAGCTTAATATATCTCTCACTGTGTCCATAAAAAATGACTAGAAAGATTATTAGGAAGTAAATTTAATATGACCATTTAAATGCATATGGACTAAGGAAAGGAGAAATAAACCCTTAGATGAAATTCTGCCCTTGAAAAGATCTCCTAGCAGGATGGGAACTTTGTCTTGGAAGAAACTTCCCTGGAAGTAAGGGAAGGACTTTACATGTGTTGATTGTGCTATCTAACCTGTGGGTATTTGCTAGTCTGAATTCTGGGGAATTGGGTTGATGACTAAGACTGTGACTGGGGGGTGGGGTGGGGATGGGGTGAGAGACTAGCTTGAGGGACAGGAGGAAACTGGAATGGGGGTGCAGTGAGACTGGAATAGGCATTCAGGGAGAATGGAATAAATGGCAGGAACAAGATTGGAATAAATGGCGAGATTTCTCACCAACCAGCTTGGCAGCCCTATTCCCTCCCTCCCGCAGGCCGGGGTGGGGAAGCAGCTCATGTCATTGAATGCACATGACGAGAGCCCACACATATCTTTAAAACACACACAGACCACCATCTGCAAGGCAAGAAGAAAGTGCTATTTGATGAACCATTCTGTTAGTACTTTAATAGTGGACATCCCACTACATAAGCTGCACAGTCTAAGGCAGTGCATGGCAGCCTTGGTCGATGTACAATACTCAGGGGATCAGAATTTTGGGTTCTGGGGGTGCCCTGAAGAAAGACAGTCATCACCAGAGCTAAAATCTCCGTTACTGTCACCATACAGTCCATTCTCTGCCAAAAATAACCACCATTTATTTTCACCTCCTTTTGCCCTTCCCCTCAGATCCCAAACAAAGGACAGGTCATCAATACCAGGCATTGGTTTCAATCACTCTCTGCGAAGTGTTGATAGAGAATACCTGACAAGTTCCTGAGGGTAAGAGCAGTGGTGAAGGGAAGTTCCAGTATACTTGTGATAGTGGCCTTTGGATATTTGGAGTCCCAGTCCTCATTCCTCCAGGATGGTTTTTCTGATTACACCATCACTAGGAAGATCACAATCAGCTACTGCAAAGAGACAATTATGGAGGAGATGGCAAGCTGGGAAGGCTCTGGACCATCTTCTCATAAAGGAGAGCCACGTCCCTTTTCTGGCAGCTCTGAAAGCAGAGTCAGAGGATGGAGTGATGGAGAATATTGTTGCTCTGATGAGACCCTTCCTGCCCAGTGCCTGAAAGCTCCCTAAAGACTTCCCAACTGCAATTCCAACTTCTGGGGCCAACCATTATGACATAAATCCATTGTCTAGATCTTGGGTTTCATAATGATAAAACTAATGGTAGGGGCCTCTAACAAGGCTTTATCAATGATGTTATTTCTTCATTATTCAGGTAGGAATACCGATTTATGTATGGCATTTGAGTCTCCTGTCTTCACACCATACATAATTTTCAAGTATATTCAACCTAAGTTTCTTTCTTTCTCATTTTACTTGACATCTTCATATTTACTAAGGATTAACACTTGGAAAATCAAATATGAAGCAGTATAAGAATTATAGAAGAGTTTACATCAACTGTAGTAACTAAATTATGTCCTGTTGTTGAGACACCATATATTAAGGTAAAGGTAAAGGCCCTCCCGTTGTTCGTCGATTTGCTCGAGCGGGCCCAGTAACATCTCCATTGGAGACTTTGTTGTTACTGTGTTTGGCATATTGAATACGTCATGGGGAGCTTGCCAGGCTCTGCCGTGCGGGCGAGATACTCTCGGTAGCTTGCCGGGCTCTCCGAGAGGGGCGGACGAATCGAACTCGGGTCAGCCATGTTGGCTGCGTGCAAGGCAAACGCCCTACCGCTGTGCTATCGCTCCTATTCAGTTTTCATGTGACAGAAATTCTGCCATAGATGTTTAATGAAATAAAATTAGTGTCTGTGCAAAAAAAATTGATCATTTTTTATTTTTGACATATTGAGATTTTCATCTTCATTGTGATATAAGATTTGTTCTCCCTTACAGAAAATTTCAGAAACATGCCTTCAGTGCTTTAATTTGTAGTTTTAAAATTGTTAAATTATAGCACAGTGGGTAAGGCATTTGCCTAGCACATGGCCAACATAGCCAACCAGGGTTCGATTCCTCTGCTCCTCTCCGAGAGCCTGGCAAGCTACCAAGAGTATTTTGCCCGCATGGCAAAGCCTGGCAACCTCCCCGTGGTGTATTTTATATGCCAAAAACAGTAACAACAAGTCTCACAATGGAGATGTTACTGGTGCCCGCTTGAGCAAATCGATGAACGATGGGACTACAGTGATACTATATACATAGAGATGTCTTTTCTCTTTATAAACATGAAACCATCCACGATTAATTCTTCTCTACTTATTTCACTTAAGATAAACCCCTCAAGTTACATTCAGATTGCACCATACAGCAAAATTTCATCTTTTCTTATGACTGAGTAGTCTACTGTTATGCCTATATATCACAACTTCTGTATCTATTCATCTAACATTGGATATTTGTATTGTTTCCCAATCTTGTTTTATTTTCTTATCATAGCAATGAACTAAGAGAAAAATGCTACCTTCTTTTTGAGAAAAAATGACATTTTTCCTAAAATTAAATGTTGTAGATCTCAAAGGCAGGGATTCTAACTCTAAATCTAAGACTATCAACAGCTCATGAAAGATTAATAGTCATAAATGCTCTCAATCATTAAGTAATTGAAGTGCAGGGCTCATCTGCCCACTAAAATGAGTTGTTTCAAGGTATCTATTCTACTTTAACCTATAAGTTACTAAGATAGTCTAGTAAAAAAAAAATCTATGCTGCAAGACTCACCTTGTTGATATACTTTGAGGTCCAATCACCTTTTATATTTTTTTATTTTGTTTTTGGGGCCACACCCAGAAATGCTCAGTGTCTACTCCTGGTTCTGCTCTCAAAGATCAGCCTGACAGTGCTCAGAGCACCATTTGGGCATCAAACTCAGGTCAGCCAGATACAAGGCAAACACCCTACACATTGTATTATCTCTCTAGTCCTTCCCTTTTATCTTCTTTTTGACTACAGTTTATATATACAGAGAAAGTACTCTATCTTTATGGTTGCTATCCAAAGTCAACTCTCTGATAGGAGTCTTCTGAGATGGAGGTTGGGCCTTATTGATCAACTGGGAGCTCCTTGAAAACAGTATTCTGATTTGTGCCCTCCTATGCCTCCCTGGATTTCCACTGAGCGATGTCTTTCAGACATGTAGACATCCTCTGTTGTAAGCATTCCATAATATGGTCTCTGTCCAGATTGTTGAACATCTTAAAGGAATTTTCCTATTACTGAAATAGGTAGTAATTCTCTCTCTCTCTCTCTCTCTCTCACACACACACACACACATGCCCTCTTCATAATTTACTGTGCAAAGAGTAGGCAGCTAAGAACCATTCGTGGAGTGTAAGCGAGATTGTCCACTGACAGGAACTCATTAAAAGTTCAGAAACGCTTGATACGAGCAGTTTCCTTGGGATGGTTCTGACCTTTGGCAATTTGGAAGAGTGTGGCTATAAGAGAAGGTCAAGTCTGGAGAACTATATTCATATAACCACTTGGAATAAAAAGGAGTTTATTTCTTGGTGATTCTCTGAATCATATGTAGTCTAAGATTCTAGAATCCCCTGGTCTGGCAGGTGAGTACAGTACTGAGATAGCTAGTTTCCTTTGTCCCAGTTAACTCACAGAGTAAAGCATGTATATCTTGTTTTAATGTCTTACTGTATATATTGTGCTTTCAAGAAGCAAGAAGCATGCACTAACATTATTGAAAAACTACAAAAGAAAAAAACAAAATATAAGGTTTATTTTCTTGGTCCTGCCTCCAAACTTTACCTTTCTACTTTCCTTTTATAAAATTAAAATGGGTGAAGGGACTATTGTTTGATGATTTTATTTTTAGGTTTCAGGTGTACCTCGTTATAAAACATTTGTATACTATTTGAGACTCATCATTCTTTTATTTACAAGGTCCACAGAAAAGTGAAAAGCATCAAGTGCTGCTCTGTAAAAGAGAGAAAAGGATGGATGTCTGTTTCAATCCAGATTATTTAACCCCAAGTAGAAACATGTGTATATTAATGACCAAATGCTGTCATTCAGGACAGAGGGTGACATGTTGCAGCTAAAAGGCATCAATATAGGTAAGTGAGGAAAGGAGAGGTGAGGGTTAATAACCCTCAGGGCTTCAGGCTTCAGAACCCATGCAAGTCCCCCTTGATCTTAGACAATCCTTAGCCCCCTGGGTGGTAGTCAAGGAGACTGGGAAACTGGATGAACCTGCTTTGGTGGCCTTAATGAATCATGATCTGAGTTAGCAATTAGTCAAGCTGAGGAGAAAGTGTAACATTCTAGAAAACTTCTGAAAAATAACAGAATCATACATAAATTTAAACTTTGCCTACTTTTTCTTTTTTATTCCATTTTCTGCCGCCCCCCCATCTCTTCACCGTTGATTTGTTATTGTGATGACTAAGAGTGCACACACACATGCACACACACACACTCACACACTCATCTGGCTAGTTTTGGTTGTGAGACTCTCTAAAGCTCACATATCAGGTTGTGGTGTTTGTAGCATCAGATATGGTACTTGCTGAGGTTGTAACTCCTTAGTTACAGTGATCACATGTGCTCTCTGGGTTTCATTGTAGGTTGAGGGGCCCAAGTTATGGTGGTTGTTCTCAGTTAAGGTTGCTATAGTGATCACACATGTGCTAGTCGAGGTCCCTCTTCCTAAACATGGTGCTTGCCTAATTTTTTTAGTTGTTGTCTTGCTGGGGAATCACACCCTTTTGTGGTTCTTATACCCATCTAGCTGTGGTGCAATCAGAAATTGCTTGCAAGATGAAGAGGTGTAGGAAGCTGAGCTGTCAAGATGGCATTTAGCACATGTTGGGCTTGGGGATTTCAACATATGCCATATGCTCATAAGGCAGATGCTCTCAGCCTTGGAGCTACTCCCCCAGGTATGTTTCTCCATTTTGTGGGGTTTATATACAATAAGAATTTATGATGTCTAAAATCAGGGGAAATCTTCCCAAAATAAATAAACTGCTTTGTATTGCAAGTCCCAGGTTTGATGCTTAGCACCACAAGGATATGTAGGTAAGTAGCTAGACAAAATACTTGTTGAGAGACTGGATAAAACGCTAGTCTTGCACATGGTCCAACAGGGTTTGATACCCAGAATCCCATATAGTCCCCTGAGAACCACCAGGAATGATTCCTGAGTGTGGAGCCAGGAATAACCCCTGAGCATAGCCATATGTGGCCCCCAAACACAATCACGATCATCCTGTTGTTCGTCGATTGCCTCGAGCAGGCACCAGTAATGTCTCCTTCGCCCTATCCCAGAGATTTTAAAAAGTGCCATACTCAAGGCTCTTTCAGGGTTAGGAGAATGAGACCCATCATTGTTACTGGCATTTGGCATATTGGGTACGCCAAGGGGAGTTTGCCAGACTCTGCCGTGTGGACAGGTTACATTCGGTAGCCTGCCAGGTTGTCCAAAGTAAGAATGAGATAATAAGATGTCACGTGGCCGCAAATGCTGGGTTTTATCGTCTTTGGGTCTTGGCCATTGATGGAATTACATGGTGCTGGGGGTCAGTTGGTGGGTGTGACCCCTGCCTACTGGAAGATGGGGGATCTGGGTGGAGGATGCTCAGGTGCGATCTGAGCAGGCTTGGAGATCTCAGCCCTGGGACCCTCATGCCTTTGTTCCTCTGCCGGTACCTTCATGCGTGTGGGGAGTGGTCTTAGCATGGTGGTGGCTGGTTTTGGAGGTCTTCGGCTGCTGGGGCTCTGCTCGGGGTGGGGAGGGAAACTCAATCAGCTCCCCTCCAAGGGGCCCTGGCAAGGACAGCCAGGAGTGGGGTAGGAGATTCTGCACTGTTCTCTTCCGGGAGCCAGGAATAACCCCTGAGCATAGCCACATGTGTCCCCCAAACAGACAAAAAAAAATTTTAAAAATCTTGTTAATTTTTTCATATTTTTTTGGAAGGAGGGCCTTGGAGATATTTAGCAGCAAATCCATCCCTTGCAGGTGTGAAGCTATGAGTTTGATCCCTGGATGTTTCATATAACACATGTCTCTTATGTGATCCCCAAAGCTCTGCCATTGTGATTCTTGGAGACCAGGCCAGTACTAGTAAGTACTCAAGGCAAGTATGTGACTCATTCACTATCAGGCTTGGGAAAATTGAAAGCAAAGCAGCTCTACCAGTCGTCTAAATGATGCTAACATGAACTGTCTTGCAGCTATATTTAGGATACCCAAATAAATACAACATGTTGTAAAACTATAGAGTGCTCCAAAATCTTTCACTGTGGTTGGGAAATTCACAGATGCCTGACTCCTGTGGAAAGGCGTAATGTCAATTGTTTCTCCTTCAGTTTTTGAACTTTCAATTTATTGTGGGGTGGAATAAAAATAATTTCTAATGGAAGAAAAATGTACTATGAAGTGATAATAGATTGCAAGTCCTTACAAAGAACTAGTATTACCTTTGTCTTTTTAAAATATTAGACTCTGTGCCTGACATACTTTATTTAATCCCAGGAATTGTGATTTAATTCCAGTTGCTCCTAATTTATAAAGAAAGTAAAGTAAGAAGGTAAGAAAGTACCTATAAGTACTTTCCCAGGAACTTACATCTAGTTGCTGGGAGTTGGGTTTAAATATCAAATTTGATTCCAATCTGTGCTCCTTTATCTTTAAGTATAGTACCATCTTTTAGGAAATTCATAAGTTAGATAAACTCACAAGGAAAAGGAAGGTGGTGAGCATTATAGTATCAGCGGTGGAAAGAAAAGAGTAGAATCAGATAAGCTCACAGTACGCAGACACCAAAGCTGAATTCAGTGAAAAGGGTCTTTAGGCAGATGCTCAGGCCAGGTGTCCTGGGCAGGCACTGAAGAGTGGGAAAACCAGCTACCCAAGCAGTTAGGTGAGCTGAAGAAAAAGTATTGAATAGCAGGAAATATGCAGCTGCAAAGTCCAACATCAAGAATCTAGCTTCTGGATGTATTTTAAGTTAACAGCTAGTAAGTGTAAGGCAGATCTTTGTGTTCATAGCAGCTAGGAAATACAACGTGGCTGTTAAAACACAGCCAACAATAGTGGAATTGAGGCGAAGGGATAAGAGACATTTATTCAGGAATAAAACAAGTCCAGTTATATTAGATTTTACTATCCACAAAATTCGCTTAGTGATGAGTCCCTTGGGTAAACTGGTTGGTTCAATACCTTGGGTAGTTTTTAGACATGGTGGGGGGGGCTCTAGAGCTAATCCTAATTAGATGAGCCTCGTGAATGCATTTAGGGCCTCGGGGCTATAGAGAGTCAGACACCCACAATTTTGGAAGCATATTTTATAGCTGAAGCAAATATAGTATATAATTTACCATATTTAAGCAAAATAAAACTAAACCAAATAATAGACAGGAAAGAACAACAAGGAAAACGCACCTACTCCTGTGATATATAGTGTCTTGTATCTACATCAGCTCCAGAAACCTTCAGGTAAGGTACAGAATATGCCTAATACTGTGTGTTTTCTCAAGGGTCTTGGGATTTCTTATCAAGAAATGCTTCTCTACGAACCGTATAAAGCTTCCACAAAGTGTTTGATTTTATTCCAATCAAGGTAGCCAATAGACTTTACACCATGGCTTTCCCTCACCCTGATTTTCCAAAAGCACAGAACTCCTTTGTGGTTTCTCAAATCCTCTTGACCTTGAGTGATTATACAGGGGAATGTCAAATATTCTAGGAAGTCTTGAATATTTCAACAGCATTCTATGTGATGCTCATTTCTTTGCACAAAATTGCCCAATATTAAGTTGCTTGGGCAAGGGGAAAATCAAGGGAACTTTATTGGGGCAGATTGTCACAATGTGGTCAATTGAAATGGCCCCTTTGTTCAGTGGGGTCAGTTCCTAAGAACAAAACATGTGGTTTGTCCAGGTAGCATGTTAGCCTTGAGATCCAGTCCTTGGCCTTTTAATTTAATTTCATGATCACGATCACTATCATCCTGTTGCTCGTCGATTGCCTCGAGCAGGTACCAGTAAGGTCTCCTTCGTCCTAGCCCTGAAATTATAAAAAGTGCCACATTCAAGGCTCTTTCAGGGTTAGGAGAATGAGACCCATCATTGTTCCTGGTATCTGGCATATTAGGTACACCACGGGGAGTTTGCCAGACTCTGCCGTGTGGGCAGGCTAAACTTGGTAGCCTGCCAGGTTGTAAAGCAAGAATGAGATGATAAGATGTCGCGCGGCCACAAATGCAGTTGGTGGGTGTGACCCCGCCTACTGGAAGATGGAGGATCTAGGTGAGGGATGCTCAGCCCCAATCTGAGTAGGCTTGGAGATCTCTGCCCTTAGGCCTTCATGCCTTTGTACCTCTGCCAGTACCTTCATACATGTGGAGAGTGGTCTCAGCATGGTTGTGGCTGGTTCTAGAGGTCTTCAGGACTCTGCTCAGGGTGGGGAGGGAAGCTCAACCTGCATCCCTTCTAGGGACCCCGGTGAGGACAACCAGGCGCGGGGGCAGGAGACTCTGTGCTGTTCTCTTCCAGAAGCTGGGTTTTATAGTCTCTGGGTCCTGGCCATTGATGGGATTACACGGTGCTGGGGGGCAGTTGGTGGGTGTGACCCCCGCCTACTGGAAGATGGAGAAACTGGGTGGAGGATGCTCAGCCCCAATCCGAGTAGGCTTGGAGATCTCAGTCCCGGGACCCGCATGCCTTTGTTCCTCTGCCGGTACCTTCATGCATGTGGAGAGTGGTCTTCGCATGGTTGTGGCTGAATCCGGAGGTCTTCAGGGCTCTGCCGGGGCTCTGCTCAGGGCAGGGAGGGAAACTCAATTTTCACTGAATCACTTAATTACCAAGTTACAAAGTTACTTATGATTGAGTTTCAAACTTACGATGTTCCAATACTAATCTTTTCTTGCAGTGTCCGCCAATGTCCCCAGTTTTTCACCTTCCCCCAAGACTGCCTATGTGGCAGGCACTTTTTTATTTTCCTCTTTTTATTTTTTTGGCATTGTGGTTTATAATACTATCACTAGTAGTGTATCATGCATATCACTTTACCTCCTGAAAGACCTCTCCAGAGTGACTACTTGGCTGTTTTATTAGCTACAATCTCCACATCTCCTCTTCCTTTCATCACATACACCATCTGTACACAGAACAAAGGATAGCTCTCAGGGAAGTCATGGGCATGGGGACATGGGGTAGATCAGGAATCTCGTTGAGACTGTGGAAACTCTCTGCAATTTTTGGCAGTATGTTCCCTGATGGACAATTTCACATCCCCTGTAGGGCTGTTCAAGCCTGTGTTCTCCCTGGCAGAATGTTTCCCGCTTAGAGCAGAGCTTTCCCTATCAGAAGGTGTCCTATGCATGTTTGTACGTAGAGGGACGTTTCCTTCTTAGCCCTGTGCTTCCCCCAGTAGGTCATTTCCTGTTTAGGCCAGCGCTTCTCCTTTATCTTGCTTAACCCAGGAGACTGCCGATATCTTAGCGCACTCATGGGACAATTTCCTACATATCATCTCCTACAGACTTCCTCTTTAGAGACTCCCACACTTAACTTCCTCTTAGCTCACACCTTGGCAGTGTCTTTTAGTACATTTTTACTGAAGCTTATCAGAAGCACAAGCTGCTTAACTTTGCAAATTATAGGGGTTTTGTCACTCAAATTGGCTTACCAGTAGCCTTTCCTCTATCCCCAGTGAATTAGTGATCAATCTGCTAAAGAAAACAAAATCTTCTGGCTGAAGTGATAGTACAGCAGGTAGGGCATTTGCCTTGCCTGGAGGCGATCTGGGTTCGATCCCTGGAATCTCATATATGGTCCCCTGAGCAATGCCAGGAGTAATCTTGAGTGCAGAGCCAGGAGTAACCCTTGAGCATTCACCAGATGTGATCCACAAACAAAAACAGAACAAAACAAAAAATCCCAATCCTCACTTGATAGCCTTCACCAGCCTGAGAGATGCTGTTCTGTTTGACACCTTTACCAATAGAGAGGAAAAAAAGTGTCACTTGAAGTCCAACCTCACAGGACTTCTGTCTATTCTGTCAGGCAGAATTAGACAAACAGATATGACACAATCCAAAGACTTGTGTAATTTTTTTAATTCTGAGGCAGGACATAGAGACAGGTTTTGATACATGGCCTAAGATTCCTGCCACAGGAGCTCAGTTTGTTTGTATGACATTAGTAATCCAGTCTACGTAGCTAAGGATTTTGGTGTAGATGCCAACATCAGATCTCAAAACACACCCATCAGCAAAAGACAGAATTCCTTGAAGAACACCATCACAGACGACTGGGGCAGCTGTGACTTCCTGCCAGGAAAAAAGAAGCTAGTTTATCTTCCTGGCAAAAAACACAAGGAATGGAATGGGACAATATTGAGGCATTGAGTGCCTCTTACCTTACAGGGTTCCCTTCTTCCTGGCACAATGCCCACACAGAACATGTTTTCGTTGATGTTAATGTTCTTATAGCCACTTTGGCATTCGCTTTTGGAGAGTACAGACATACTTACATGCTGTAGTGAGTTGGGGTCCTTGCCTGGGTGGAAAAAGGAAAAAAATAAATTTTTTAAGTTACTAGATATTAAAACCTCCTTGCAATTTCCCTCTTTGCAGCATATTTCTTCCCTAGTGCTTTTGGAAATTAAAAATTATTAATTGCTTATGATACAAGTGCCTTGGACATTCTCTGTAAGTATGAGCTATAAATAAAATAAAAATCAAATAAAAGTGAAAAACTAGTCAAAAAATTTGAAGTGTGTTCTTTAAACGTTTTACCCATAGATTGATATAACTTTTATGCTTTAAGTTCTACAGTGTGTGCTCACTTCTGCAGCACATATACCAAAATTGGAATGCTAGAGAGAATATTGGCATGGCTTCTGCACAAGGATGACATGCAAATTCATGACGCATTCCATATTTTTGTAACTGCATATCTCATGGTGATTTATTAAAAATAAGTAATAAGAAAATTTAAAAAGAAATAAAATACAGAGTTAAAATATTCCACAATGTAAACTAATAAATAAAAAGTCTTAAAAATAGTGTCTTTTGTAATCTTTTTTAATAGCTTCTATGAAGCTAACATTGCACTAATTCCCAAAGTATATAGAGATACTTCTAGGAAAAAAAGTTCAGAATAACTTCCCTGACAAATATGGACACAAAAATCCTCAACAAAATCTTAGCAAACTAAATTCAATAGTACATCAAAAAGTCATACACCATGATCAAATGGGTTTCATCCCAGGGATGCAAAGGTGGTTCAATATATGCAAATCAATGAAAATACACGACATCAATAAAAAGAAAGATAAAAATCATAATATATCAAGCTATGCAGAGTTTTTGACAAGATCCTATCTCCATTCATGATAAAAAAAAATTATCAACAAAAATAGGGATGAAAAGAACCATCTCAAGATAGTAATGGACATCTATAATAAACCCACAAATGTATCATTTTCAACAGGGAAAAACTAAAATTATTCCCTCTGATATCAGGTACAAGGCAAGGGAGTCTACTTTCTTTACTTTTATTCAATATAGTATTACAAGTCCTAGCTACAGCAATCAGGCAAAGGGATAAAAAGAATATCAAAGGACTCCAAATTGGAAAAAAGCTACTTTGACTAAAGTAGCTCTATTTGCATATGATATGATAATATACACAGAATACCCTAAAGAGTTCACTAAAAAGGTCTTAGAAACAATAAACAAATATAGCAAAGTGGCAAGCTAAAAAAATCACTACACAAAAATTAGTTACATTCAGCATATATACATATTTTCAGATATGTATACCAAAGCTCACACCACCCAAACTTTAACAACAACGTAGTGATATCCTATAGAATGTCTTAATGGTTCCTGCCAAAATAGAACAATCTTCACACTATTTCCTATATGAACACTTTTTTGTAAGCTTCTTCAGCATTTCTTCTTAACAGACAATATTAAATATATTACTTTGATTGTGTTTTGTGACAGGGATTGGGGTTTGGGATAGAAACATCCTGAATTTGGTGAAGGGAGGGTGTAATGGTGGTGGGATTGGTGTTTGAATACTGAGTGTAATCAAACATTGTGAACTAACATAAAATTTTTAAAAAGTTTTTAAAAAGTAATGTGGAATTCATGCCCAATTCAATTAGCTTAATCAATGGCTGAATAAATAGCAGTGCTCCTACATTATTTAAAAAAATAGTTGCATTCAAACATGTAAACATTGTATCAGAGGGGAAAGTGGTCTGTTCAGTCAGAGCCTATCCAGTCAAAATAGTGTAAGTATCTTGAAATAAACTTAACGAAAGACATGAGAGAACTAAAGCATGAAAACTTTAAGAAACTTGAGAGAGGGATAGACACCAATCCTACAGCTTCCCTCATGTTAACTCACTGGCCCAACTTCCCAGCTTCATGATTGATCTCGAAAGAGATGTAATCCAATACCACTGAAAAATCACAGGTATACTGGTCTTCTGGCTGAAAACTTTAGGACGCCCTTGGGAGAGGGGCCAGGCCAACTTCCTGCCCTGCGAAAGCCTTGGCATCATACTCAACCCCCAGTCATTGCAAAGCCAAAGGCCCAACTTCACTGCCTCATAACTAATCTCGGCAGAGATGCCAAGTTGACAAAAATTCCAGGTACAACAGTTTTCTATCTGAAAACTAGGCTGTCTTTTCAGATTGGGAGCAGGCAGTATCCTTCCATCCCCTGTACTGTTGGAAGACACAGCAGTCACACTCACATCCCACAGATGCTGCCATGTAAACTTCTCAGCCCTGAAGTTCTTGGAGCGACACCTCTAAATTATACAATTCTTACATTCCAGTAGGAGCACTGTAGCACTGCACTGTTCTCCCGTTGTTCATTGCATTGCTCGAGTGGGCTCAGTAATGTCTCCATTGTGAGGAGCAACCCAAATTAAATGGGAAAGCAGCATAGAAACCAAATAAGGTCCATAAAAACAATAATACAGAAGGCTGAACTAGGAACAAAGAGCTTAGTAAAACCCTCAGACAATGACTTACTGCTCCCATTATGAATTAATAAAAATTTTCACAAATTTTCTTTCACTGAAGTATTTTATTATTCCACTAGTCATTTAGTTTTAACACACTGACCAGCCAAAGCCATACTGAGAAATTAGAAATTGTCATGGCAAAAAGAAACACAGCATAAAACAAAAAGATAAACAACTGAATGGAAGAGAATATTTATTTGCACTCAACACATAGGCTAAAAGATTGGTATATAAGATATATCAAGTACTCGCAAAAATTAGCAACAAAAATCCAAAAACCCTATCAAAACTAGGGAGAGAAAATGAGTACTTTGATGAAGACAGAAGGATTGTCAATATGCACATGAAAACTGAAAGTAATTTTGTTATTATGGATTATTATTATTAGATAGCAGCTTGTCTTTCGAGCGGAATCAAACCAGCGACCTAAGGATGACTGTGATTATAAAACTACAGTCCTCTACTCTACCAGCTGAGCTATTGAAGGGAGTGTTTGCCTTGTGTGCGGCCGGGTGGGCCGAGCTGGCTTCAATTCCTCTATATCTCTCGGAGAGTCGGGTAAGCTACCGAGAGTATCTCACCCGCACGGCAAAGTCTAGCAAGCTGCCCGTGATGTATTCGATATTTGATATGTCAAACACAGTAATAACAAATCTCACAATGGAGACGTTACTGGGCCCACTCAAGAAATCTATGAACAATGGGAGGACAGTGCTACAGTGCAGTGCTATTATTATTAGAGAAATCCAAATCAAGATTAGATATCATCTTGCACAAGTGAGAATGACATGAATCAAAAATACAAATCAACAATCTGCTGGTGGGAATGTAGTGAAAAAGTAATTCTCATCCCCTGAATGGTGTGGATGTTTTTTTGTTTCAAGCCCGATTTTTAAAAAGATTTCTCAGAAATAAGAATTAAGTTGTCATAGACTCAGAAATAATTCTTTTTGGTATCTACTTCCAGGACATTCATTCAAAAGTACATAAGTACACTACTATTCTATGCAGCACTTAGCACAGTAACTTGGATATGGAATTATCCTATACATCGATACACTGGCAGATGAATGAATTATGAAGATGTGCTATATGTACACAATGGAATACTACACAGCTTCAATGAACAATGAAACCAATTAGCTGCAATTTAGATGTAACTGGAGGAAATCATGTTAAGTGAAGTCGGAAGAAAAAGTACAGGAGTATTTCACTTATCTGTGGGTTATAGAATAACATAATGAGAGAATGCAAGATATTAAAGGGGGATACTTAGATTAAGCTTCGCACCAGAAAATAGAAGGACAGGAAGGAGAAAAATAAGGGGATATGTAAGAAGAGGTGGATGGAGTGCCACAAGGGCCAGGGTACATTCATGCTATAGAGGGTTATGATATCTATATCTATAAACCTCAGGGTCAACAATGCTGAAAATATAAGATCCAACCTACAACAACCAAACTTAGAGGCTGGCTGGGAATGGGAAAGCTCCTGGGAACCTTGGCGGAGAAAAGTTCAGACTGTGGTGGGAATGGAGTGTTATGTAGCTGTTAGAAAAGATGAAGTCATGAAATTTACATACAAGTGGCACTACATGGAAAGTATTACGCTAAGCAAAATGAGTCAGAAAGAGAGGGACAGACATAGAAAGATTGCATTCATCTGGGGAATACAAAGTAACAAAATAGGAGACTAAAGCCCAAGAATAGCTGAGATAACTACCAGGAGGTTCACTACATGGCTTGGAAGCCAGCCCCACATGCTAAGTGAAAAGGCAGCTCAGATAGAGAAGAGACCACCAAATAAAGGGTGTTGGGAGGATCCTCCCAGGATGAGAGATGCATGCTGAAAGTAGACTATAGCGCGAACATGATTGACACTCAATACCTCTTTTGCAAACCACAGCACCCAAAAGGAGAGAGAGAACCAAAGGGAATGCCCTGCCTTTTGTTGCGATGGGGGGAATGAGGGGTGGGAGGGATACTGGGATCATTGGTGGTGGAAAATGAGCACTGGTGGAGGGATGGGCGCTCGATCATTGTATAATTGAAACCCAAGCACAAAAATTTGTAAGTCTACAACTGTACCTCATGGTCTTTCACTAATAAAAAATAAAAAAAAAAAACTGGGGGTGGGTGGAGTGAGGAGGATATAATTTGCTTAAATCATTAAAATGCTTCAAGATTAAGAATTGTTTTTAACTTTAGCTAAATACAGAGACCCAAGTGTTTTATTTCATCAGGCCATGGTCTCTAATTCTAGGCACTCTCTTTTGTTGGGTCAATATGCTAATAAAACTTGCAGTTTCACAATAAATAAACAAATAAAAAGACTGTGGTGGGATTGGTGCTGAAATATTATATGCCTGAAAAACTTTGTGAATCTTTGTGCCTTTATTTTTTTTAAATAGTGGTGGGGCTGGAGTGGTAGTACAGCAGGTAGGGTACTTGCCTTGCACCTGGACAAACCAGGTTGAATCTTAGGCACCTCATATGTTCCTCTGAGCCTGACCAGGAATGACCCAAGCACAGAACCAGGAGAAAGCCAAGAGCATAATCAAGCACACCCCACCCCGCATACACACACACACACACACACACACACACACACACATACACACACGCAAAAGGTAAATATGTATAGTGATAAATGATTAAATTAGATTCATTGGGGCACCACTTCACAGTGTATACACATATCAAGTATCTGTTAAGTATCTTAACTATATTCAATTTTCGGTTGTCAATTATATATTAAAAAGCTGGAAAATAAGAATTTCTTTGTCATATATTCAAGGAAGTAAATTCCAAAATCTGGAAGGCATTTTCCAGAGTAGTCTTAAAAGGTTGGAATAAGGACAATATTGTTCCTTTGACTTCTACTTAAAATTTAAGTAGATGAATGAGAGAAGAAAGTTATTGTAAACTATAGTATAGTTACTCACCAACATAACATGAGTAGTAGGCCCAGGTGGAGGCAGTACATGTGTCATTTGGGGACACAGGTTTCTGGGGCAGTGCAATTAGCTTCACATGCTCATTGAGTTGAATAATTGAGTTCAGCTTGATTAACATGAGGTCATAATCTATAGAATTGACTGAGTACTTTGGATGTTTAATCATCTTCACGTAAGAAACCTCTTGTGTATTTTCTTCCCTTTGGTTTGATGGATTTGTGACTCCCAACACTGCTATAAGATTCCTAGAATAATAGAGATGTTTATACAAAGATTTAATAAAGATGGTTTATCTTTCTTTATGGAATTTTATTAGCACAGGCCTTAATCTCTGTTTCTAAATATCCCTAGAAGGTCTCCCTAATCCCATTTACTTGAGCAGTGTACTTAGGTGGGGGTCAGATCTGTACCCAATCTGAAAACCCAGAGTTAAAGAGGTGTTCAGGGGGCTGGAGGGATAGCACAGCGGGTAGGACGTTTGCCTTGCATGCCTTATGGTTGCCTTATGGTTGCCTTATGGTTGCCTTATGGTTGCCTTAGCACCGCCAGGAGTAACTCCTGAGTGCAGAGCCAGGAGTAACCCCTGTGCATCTCCAGGTGTGACTCAAAAAGCAATGAATAAATAAGGCAATGTCTCTTTTTTTTTTTTTAGAAAAAAAAGTGGTATTCAGGGCCATCACTCACGGTAAGTTGCAATGTGCAGCTGTGAGCACCCAAAGTTGGTGAATCAGGACTCCAGTGCATGGCGAATAACTAGATTTCAAGTAGACCAAGTAGGGTGTAAGGATGCCATTTGTTTCATCTAGGTCAAAAGACAAAGCAACTGGAGAGAAAAATGGATAGGAAAATCTGGTGTTATTTCAGGGATCACAAGAAAAAAAGTAAAGGCAAATTACTTCAAAGACTCTGGTTTTCCCTAATTATAGAAACATATTTCAAGAAATAAAAGGTGTCTTTACTTTAGTTACCAAAAATATTTTTCAAAATTAAAATACTAGTTTAAATACTTTACACAATCAGTAAACTTATCTTAAATATATTCAAAGATAACACTTTTTCATTTACCATTTTAAAAATGCTTTGACCACTCTTATCCCAACAACAATGAAAGGTAAAAGGATATATGTTCCAAAACAAAAAATCCAGGGCTGACAGAGTCTGATTCCTGGTATTGAAAGAATGAGGTTTATTTTATTTTATTTTTGCAAGTAGATGTCAGCAAGCAAGCAAACAAAAAAATACATTGAATTCAGAGTATGAGAGAAAGAGGATTTTTTTCTAAGATGCAGAACCATATCCAGACAAATTCCAATAGTGGAAATCTACCTCTTCCTCTCATTCTCTAAGTTAATGTCAGCGCTGTGTTACAGTAACAGAGAGTCCGATCTTAGTCTTTATTGAGAATGATTCCAATATTGGGGTTTCGGTGTTCATTTCTTCCACCAATGTGTGTAAGCAATGAAGCTAACATGAAGCAAGTAGCCAATCCCCCAGGAGAAATTCTTGTGGATACACTAGTAGTGTTGAGACTCAACTCTCCATTTGGAATCTGAACAATTGCCTCACATTTTAGCCGTTACAATTTCTTTTGGATTTTTCTTTGACAGCTAAAGAGAAAAATCTGTAGACACTCACCAGGTGGGCTCAAGAGAACCCAGAGAAGGATCAGCTTCATGATTATAAAAGCCATTTGGATGGACAAGGCCCAACCTTGGGTCTACAGAAAGAACAGTAAGACAAAGGAAATGGACCAGATGAGAAACATATGTTGCAAACAAAAATAAAGCAAGAAGATTTTCTAGAGCTGAAAATAAAATAATCACCTGATCTTTTCCAGTGCCAGGATTCATTTCCAGAAGAAGCAGTCATCAGTTTGAGGTGGGACAGATGTATTGGGTACTGGAGGTACAAGAAAAGACATCAGGTAACTTGGTCTCTGACACAATAAAGATGTATTTTGAAGATACATTTTTGGTGATGGATTAATATAAAATCAATGAACTAAAGTGCGTGTTTTATATGTAGACGGCGTGGGTTTGACTCACAGCACTGCATGGCCCTGAGCACCACCAGGAGTGATAGTCTCCCATTCCCAAAGAGAACCCACCCAGGACTCAGGAGTTTCCCCAACATACCATCAGACATAGTACAAGACAAAACAGAACAACACAACACAAAACAAAAATCTAGAGTTTTAAGCTTTCTTTAGGAAAAAAAAGTACCCAACCTGTAGGACCTTGGAGCTCCCAGTGTTTCTATAACTGCTTCTTCTCTGTTCCCCACCCCACCTTTGTCAAACTCTGAAGTCTGGTCCCCTAGTACCTGTAGGAAACTGACCCCACCCACCTATGTGATGCAAATCCTACCCATGACAATGTTATTTATCTTCAGTGGTTATAACATAGTTCGCTGGTACTGAACTTGACTCCCCTTTCTGACACAAAACTATCCTTGGGATCTATTAGCCTTTTGGCTCATGTCATTACTCATTTATTTACTTTTTCAACCACCCAGTCAAAAATTCATAGTGAATTTCTGAACCTATTCAGACTATACTCTAGCTCCTCTGGAGGATTGTAAATTGTCTATGCCTTAAAAAGATTTACAAAACAATGAAAAGGACTGGAAAATTGTACATTCCTCAGAGCTAAAAATATACATAATGTAAACTAGGTGTAAATGGTTACATATAAATCTGATGACACATCTTATAAAAGATTTATATCCAAAATAAGTGAAGATAACAAAATTAAGCTGTAAGAAAACAATCCAACTAAAATGTAGTTCAAATAGCTAGCAGGCAACTCACCAAATATATAAATCTCAGATGTCCATTAAAAATTATAATATGCTTTAACAAGAAACATTTATTTTATCACAGTTTTGGAAGCAATAAATTCACAATTAAAGGTGGCAGGAAATGCAGCTTCTTGATGAGTAGCTCTCTTTCTGGCTTGTAGAGAAAGTAATCATGTGATCTCTCCTGTGAGTAATGCATAGAGAAAAAGCAGTACTTCCATAAGTAATTCCCAGGAAAAGGGCAGTACTCTAGGGACTTCTTCTATAAATGCTCTAGTCCTATTAAATTATTATCCCACCTTTTATACTTGATGAGGGGTTTATAGGATTTACTTCACAGGTGAAAGAAAGTATAACTTGCAAATAATAGAATATCACTTCCAGGAAAGATGGGGAAAGCTAGTAAGAAAAAACTAAACAAAAATAGGTTTGGTAGTGGGAGATTGAATGAGTGAACTACTTACAGTTTTCATCTCCATCTACTCCCAGCCAGAAATTCTGTGCTGAAGGTGAGTATTCAAAGGAAGAGAGGCTGGGAAGCTTGGAAGCATCATTGTGGGAATTAAACAATTACTTGAAAGATATTAAGTACTGAAGACATGATTTAAGGGTTTAAAGAAGTGGGAGAAAAGAATCATTTGAGATGATACCAACCAGATTCCCCAAACAAGAACTACATCCCCCAAAGAGAAATTATTATTGAATCCCACAATCAGCCCCACAGTGGAACTGAGTGGGATACCCAGGGACCATCTCCCGGAGATTTTCCCCACTGCAGAGCAAAGAGCAGAGATGCATATAGGATGAAGACCAGAGGCAACAGAGGGCAGAATGTTGCCTAAAGGAAGTTGTGGAATGAAATTTGGCTCCCCAGGTCTTAAAATCTCCCTTGCAAAACATGACTGAAAAGCAAGAGTTAAGTCACACAGAGTTGGTGGCTACAGGAGGCCTACATTTGTTACCTCTGGCACTTGGCCAGGGTAGACTCTCACTGGTACTCCAAGTCCAGGATGGAAAAGCTGCAGGTGAGCAGCTGCCCATCCCAGATGCAAACAAAAGCTGCCACTCCCCACTGGTATCTGATGGAGTGTAGCTATTATCTCAGAATCAGAAAGAAGATTTTCTCCAGAGAATAGAGAATAGAGAAAACATTGCTGCCAAATGCTGTGACTGCAATAACAGCCATGGTGAGACTCTAGCGATGATAAACACAGGGAGGCAGCACTGCTCTCTCCATCCCTAGGCATAGAGCTGACACACAAAATTTCCCACACACAGCTATAAATTCCCAGCATCAGTCTGGAACAGCATCAGTTAAGTATACAGACACTGAGTGGAAATGCAAGTATGAACCCTCAACTATTACCTAAGCATGTACAAAGCTAGACTCTTAGCCCTAGCACTCAGAACACACAAGACGCAATGAAGGGGCTGGAGTGATAGCACAGTGGGTAGGGATTGGCCTTGCACACGGCCGGCTCGGGTTCGAATCCCAGCATCCCATATGGTCCCCTGAGCACCGACAGGAGTAATTCTTGAGTGCAGAGCCAGGAGTAACCCCTATGCATCTCCGGGTGTGATCCAAAAAGACACAAGAAGAAGCAGAGAAATTTCCCTGCATAAATGTTCCTTGGAAGACCCAAACAGTTACCCAAACAAAAAAGAGCTATCAACCTACCTGATGAAGACTTTAGAATGACAAAGGTATAAATGTTAACTTAGTTAAGGAAAACAATAGAAGAGAGCTCCAACAGAACAGATAAAGTATGAACAAATTTTATTTTGAAACAACTGAACTGTAGAATGTAGGTTTGACTAATAATCAGTAAAGCTCAGTTGAGAAACCAATTGTTGATTTGAGGATGAAATTATATAAAACCACCAAAAAATTAAAATGAATCAAACTAAGATTTATAGAACAGCTTGACATCCTATGAGGTCAATAGTGCCCTGGTACCAAAGCTAGCACTAGTGTCCTGCAAACAGAGACTGAAGTAGGTAGATTAGTGATCATATCTCTCCTCTCCACCTCACACAAGCCACCTGTGGGGGTCCCCCTACTTCAGAGACCACTGAAAAGTTACCACACTTTGTCAGGAGAGATTGTAGAGCAGGGAGGGCACTAGCCTTACACTCTGCTAACCTGGGTTATACCTCCTAGCATCCCATATGGGCCCCCTAGTATCACCATAAGTAATTCCTGAGCTCAGAGCCAGGAGTAACACCTGAACACTACCAGGTATGTCCCTAAATCCAAATAATAAAAATAACAATGATAATGATAATATTGTAGCACTGTAGCACTGTAGTCCCGTTGTTCATCATTTGCTTGAGCGGGCACCAATAACGACACCATTCATCCTTGCTGTGTGCTAGCGTAGCCCAATGGCTTCTGCTCGCTCCAGGAACATGAAGTGGGACTTGTTGTTACTGTTTTTTTTATTAGTGAGACACCATGAGGTACAGTTGTAGACTTACAAATTTTGTGCTTGGGTTTCAATTATACAATGATCAAATACCCACCCCTCCACCAGTGCCCATTTCCCACCACAACGGATCCCATGCCAGCCTCTGCTGTGCAGGCAGGATACTCTCAGTAGCTTGTAGGGCTCTTCAAGAGGGATGGAGGAATTGAACCCACGTCGGCCATGTGCAAGGCAAATGCCCTACCCTCTGTGCTATCGCTCCAGCCCAATGATAATATTACTAGAACAATATCTCTGATCAACATAGATGCAAAGATCCTCAACAAATTCTTTTTTTTTTTTTTGCTTTTTGGGTCACATCCGGTGATGCACAGGGGTTATCCCTGGCTCATGCACTAAGCAATTACTCCTGGCAGTACTCGGGGGACCGTATGGGATGCTGAGAATCGAACCCAGGTTGGGTGCATGCAAGGCAAATGCCCTACCCACTGAACTATCACTCCAGTCCCCCTCAACAAATTATTATGGAATCAACTCTACCTTAAAATGTTCATAAACCATGATCAAGTAGAAATTATAACAGGATGCAAAAGTGCTTCAATATATGCAAATAATTTCATGTGATACTATGCCATATGACATGATTGGGGCCAGAGCTATAGATAGTACAGCAGTTAGGGTGCTTGTCTTGCATGTAGCCAATCTGGGTTTGAACCCCAGCATCCCACATGGTTCCCTTAGCACCACAAGGAGTAATTCCTGGTTGCAGAGGCAGGAATAACTCAAGCATCACCAGGTGTGACCTCAAAACAAAAACAAAATAATATGATCATATCAATGGATTCAGAAAAGGCGTTCAACAAGATGCAACACTCATTTCTGCTACATTTCGTGGTCCTCAGGACTTACTCCTGTCTCTGTGCTCAGAAACCTTTCCTGGCAGTGCTCAGAGGGCATATATAGTACTAGGGATTCAAACTTGGTCGAATCTTACCCCATGTACTATCTTTCATACACCCCTATCACAAATAATGAAAACTCAATTTTAAAATGTTTAAATTTGGGGCCAAAGGCTAAAATCTTCCCACCACAGTCAAGTACATAACTTAACTGTCCTCTAGATTAGGAGCCCATCTGTCTTAAGGAAGGGAACCTTGCAATTTTCCACAAGCCACCAAATTCCCGTGACCCGTTCCTAAAATAGCATACTTATTAAATTTGATGGGAAATGCTGCTCCCAAATTTGATATATTCCCAGAAATATTTAAAAAGAAAACAAAATTGAAAGGTCAGACAAGTAGCCAAGAAACTAGAAGAAATTATGAGTGCTTTATAAAATATTCTGGGACAATACAGATATGACTCAGGTTTGAGCAGGAACACTGGGCAGTGAATCACAAACAGAAATTAAGGAGAAAATAAGGGGAATGCTCTAGGAATAGCCAGGCAAACAAAGAAGTGTGCAGTCTGTATGGGTCAATCACTGTCCTCCCGTTGTTCATTGATTTGCTCGAGCGGGCCCAGTAACGTCTCCATTGGAGACTTTGTTGTTACTGTGTTTGGCATATCGAATACATCACGAGTAGCTTGCCAGGCTCTGCCATGCGAGCGAGATACTCTCGGTAGCTTGTCGGGCTCTCCGAGAGGGGTGGAGGAATCAAACTCGGGTCGGCCATGTTGGCTGCGTGCAAGGCAAACGCCCTACCACTGTGCTATCGCTCCAGCCCGTATAGGTCAATAAAGACTAGAAAAAGAGTTGCTGTTGAATTAAATGGCCAAAGTATCTAACTATGAGAAAATGGCTTTTATGTCAGCACAAGATACCTGGAGATCTTAATCTTACCCAATTATAGATGAATATATATTATTCGATATGTTATAGCATCACGATCACAACCACCCTGTTGTTCGTCGATTGCCTCGAGCAGGTGCCAGTAATGTCTTCTTCGTCCTAGCCCTGAGATTTTTTTTTAAAGTGCCATATTCAAGGCTTTTTTTTTCAGGGTTAGGAGAATGAGACCCATCATTGTTACTGGTATTTGGCATATTGGGTATACCACGGGGAGTTTGCCAGACTCTGCCGTGTGGGCAGGTTACATTTGGTAGCCTGCCAGTTTGTCGAAAGTAGAAATGAGATAATAAGCTTCCGGGAGCTGAGTGTGATAATCTCTGGATCTTGGCCGTTGTTGGGGTTACACGGCAGTTGGTGGGTGTAACTGTCTAGTTACTGGCAGGTCCAGTCCCAAACCGTGCAGGCTTGGAGATCTCAGCCCCGGGTCCCACACACCTGGGTTCCTCTGCCAGTTCTTTTATGCGTGAGGCTCATCCAAGTGTGTGGAGAGTGGTACCAGCATGGCCTTGGTTGGGCCCCGGTGGTCTTCAGCTGTTGGGCCCTGGTGGAGACAGTCAGGCACAGGGTAGGAGACTCTGCCTTGTTCTCTCCCAGGAGCTGAGTGTGATAATCTCTGGATCCTGGCCATTGTTGGAGTTACACGGCAGTTGGTGTAATATATGTTATAGCATATATTTACTTTATATACAAATGCACTTGCTTTGATGGGGAACAAAAAAGTATCCAGATTCATAATAAATCAGTATTAAAGAAATCAACCAACCTCTTCAGTCTCAGCTTGGCAGTCACTACCCTAAATGTAGCATGAACTCCAAACTTCTTTATTCTCTGTAGAGTCTCCCATAGAGAATAATGTATCTACCCATCTCACTGACCCTCTTGGGTCTTCGTTGTCTTTTGAACAAATGAACCTCCTGATACAGTGCCTCTCCTCAGGACTCTCATACATTGCTCAGAGTCATACTTTGGGGTCACTTGAAATCTTCTCAATTCTTGTATTCAAGTGTCTTGGTTAGTGGGTCTGACGTACTGTACATTTCCCCCATCATAGGACAATGTGACAAAAAGACAGTTTCTGTCAGAGGATGTAATTCTACTAAAGCATGGAAAGACCAACTATTACCATAGAACTACCCAGTAGTTACTGCCCAGGCATCATTTGAAATTCAGATTTCCGTCTAATGGATGTTTTTTGATATACAACCTTCATGTAGTTCAAGCGTTTCAAATACTTTCTTCATATCTCCTTCATGACCATGTTTCTGATATTCTGAAATTAGTTATTGATTCTCTTCTTACTATATTTGAGAATCAAACAGTAGCCCAGGATAAAAATTATGTTATCTCAGATCCCTCCCCCCTTTTTTTCTAATCACAAGATACTGCTTGCTTACTATCTCACATCTCAGAAATTCGAAGATGATCTCTCTCCTGGGATAATTTAAAGATACACTTTCTGATGACTAGAAGATAAAAATCTAAATTCCTTAACCTAGCAAGTCAGGATTTCCAGTATTTATCACTTGCATAGCGATAAACAATCTTTGATCATATTTTTCTTTCCTGTTAGGCTATCTATGTTCTTCATCAATTGTTTTATGTATTTCCAGAAAATTATATGTTTATTATACTTTCTTACTTTCATTCTTTTATCTTTGGTTTTATAGTATTCTCTCCTAGCTGTGTGTGCTTGCGCTCACACACACACACACACACACACACACACAAACACACACACTGTCTCCATATGTTTCCTAAATAAAGCTATTTTTTTCACACAAAAATATTTTCTACTAACTCAGCTGCCTCCATAACACATCCCCTAACTTTGCCACACAAAATGTTTTTTCCATGTTCTCACCAAACATGTCACTCATCCACTTTCTAACAGTTGTCGCAAGATAACATATTAGATTGATGGCAAAAATCCAAATATACTAAACTATGCTTAGTGTACACCAGTGCCTTTTAAATACCTGAAGTTTTAGTTATAATTTTTCAACTGAACCACTGTGAGATACACAGTTACAAGGTTTTTATTATCGGATTTCAGTCATATAGTGTTCCAACACCCATCCCTCCACCAGTGTACATTTCCCACCTCCAATGTCACCAGTACTTTTTGAATGAATGCTGAGGATTTTTACAAATTTCACATTGTTTTTATGTGAAAAAAAAGAGCAGGAGTCAACAGCATCGGTACGCTTTTTTTTTTTTTAACTTGGATGATTTTTGTTTGGATTATGATCAGGAGCAAGAATGATCAAAGGCCATTGTGAATCTCATGTGAAGTCATGAGGCCATTACACTGAGGAGATGGAAGTAGAGGTTCCTCATCGGGTATTAATATTTTGCATAATCCATCCTGCATAATGATGAACTTCTGTGAAGAATCCTTGTCTTCCCCAAGTGACACTTCCTTTTGTCCAGGACAAGATTCCATGCACTCTCCCACCACAGATGGCTGGAGAGGCTGCAATTTCCTGCCAGGGAGAAATGAAATAGTGGGTCACACTTGATTTGTCCTCATAAAAACCAGGAAGTGGCAGAGGCATCTCCTGGACTGAACTCATTTCTCTATTCTTTCTTCTTTCCTCCTCAGCAGGGCTTTCAAGTGGTGCTCAGAGAGCCAAGAGGTCACACCTGATGAATCTCAGCCAACCATGATGGATGGTTGCATACTACTCCTGAAGGATTCTACATGCTCCTCAGGCCCTGCTGTCCACCTTGGCAATGCTTGGTGGTCTCCAGAACCACACCTAGGGGAGCTGTTTGAGGGTCTCCAGGACCACACCTAGTGGAGATCCTTGGGGGTCTCCAGTACCACATCGAGGGGAACTGCTTGGGGGTCTGCAGGACCACACCTAGTGGTGCTTAGATCCCACATGATGCTGGAGATTGAACTGGGGTTGGATGCATGTAGGCATGTACCCTCACACCTGTACTATCTTCCAGATCGTTCTGTAGAGCAAACAAGACAGAAATTACAAATGGTTCATTCAGCAATCTTCCCCCCCACTCAAAATGGGGGTTTTATTCATAAACAGAGTGATTAAGGGGTGGAGAATAGAGGGAAAGAATACCATTTTATTCCGAATAATTAACTCTCCTACTCATGGTCTTCTTGCTATTTTCTTGTTGAATAAAAAATAAGCATACCAAGGCTGGAACAATAGCACAGCAGGTAGGGCTTTTGTCTTGCATGCAGAGGACCCGGGTTCAATTCCCAGCAGCCCATATGGTCCCCTGAGCACCGCCAGGAAGAATTTCTGAGTGCGTGAGCCAGGAGTAACCCCTGTGCATCGCCATGAATAATTCCTGAGTGCATGAGCCAGGAGTAAGCCCTGTGCATCGCCAGGTGTGACCCAAAAAGTGAAAAAAATAAAATAGAATAATAAAATAAAATACATTAAACATACCTTATTTTTAGACAAGATGGTATCAGGTGTTCCCATACACATAATGGTTCCTTTCTTCATATGTTTATTTATCTTATTAAGGCACTCGTGACTTGGGAGAATATATTGGTTAATCCAGGTCAGGTTATCAGGGTCACGAGCTGTGGGAAAGAAAAGACAAAGATAAATCCAAATGTCACTTTCCTTATCACATAACTCATCTATGATCAGCAACCTACATTGTAATAACTAACCAATACAGTAATCTATGAAAATACTCATTATAGGTAATGTGTATAACTTACAGATCGACAACACATGGGAAAGTAACAAGTGACAGACAGAAAGCTAGTATACTTAAAAATCTCCTACTTTTACACATATTTCATCTTGATGTTTACTTATAAGAGGAAGTAAGCGATTTTAGTGTGTATAAACTGCTTTTTTAATTAAAAATTTGCATGGGGAGGGGGTATGCTGGAAGTGCTCAAGCCTCACTCTTGCCCCTGTTCAGGGCTCTCTCCTGGCAGAGTTCTGGGGACCATTATGGTGGAAGGGATTGAACCAGCATTAGCTGTACACAAATCAAACACCTTAGCCCTTGTATTATGTCCCAGGTCTCTAAACTTACTGTTTATATAAACACATTGTGCACAAATGTCTGGCTTCTAAGTTTACCTGTGCACATATCTAAATAAGCACATGAATCCCCCAGCCAGAAATATTATTCATCTCGATTCCAGAGCTCGTTACTATAACCTCAACCTGAGGATGCAGGCAACTAAATCAGGGCCATACAGTTTTAACTTTGGCAGAGAAAAGCAAGAAAACAATATGCCAAAAAACTGGATAGAAATTGCTTAAACAAAAGATTTTTTATAGAGTATATATCAATCTAGTTTTCTAAAGAAGATTAGACCAAAAGTGAGATCAGAAAATAGAGGAATTAAGTTCAATTTAAAGTTTTTAAGGTGGTGGGGTGGGGGAAATTGAACTACAATCCATAGAATAATCTAAATGACAATAACCTGCTACTTGAAATAACTCTTAATAAAAATGTCATCACAATTATAGAATTATTTACCATGATTTGACAATCATGTGATAAAAGTATTTATGTGGACTTGTTTTCAAATGATGCATAATACATTATTTTTTATAAAATGTGATTCAATAACTTAGACTTATAAAGCCAAGAGAAATATCATAAAACTTTCATTTACTCAGAAAATATATTTACTTAGATTCCCAAGGATGTTGTTTAGATGTTGAAAATGAAAGTACAAGAGCTTGCATTTTTAAAATTCCTTTTCCAAACAGTCTAATTTTACAAGTTGCACCTTTTGGTTTGTTTTTAACTGAACAGATGGATCAGTCTGCAACCACCAGGACTGGGCTTAAACCTGATCAATATCCATTCCTATTTATCTCAGTGAACAGTGACAGCAAGTCAATCAGTCAATGTCATTTTTAAAGTCATCCCATCAGAAACTCCCCCACTCTGGTAAGTTCTATATTTGGACCTGAGTGCCAACCAATAAAAAAAAATTTGCCTGAATAATGATCCCTGAATACATTTTTATTGCCTCTTAAAGCTTTGAAAGTTCTCTAATTCCTGACGTGGATGGTGTTTGAGGTGATTGTACCGAGTGAAATTAATCAGAAAATAAAAGACAATGAGCGGGCCCCTCACATGTATAATAGCACTGTAGCCCCGTCTGTAATACTGTCCTCCAGTTGTTGATCAATTTGCTCGAGCGGGCACCAGTAGTGTCTCCATTGTGAGACTTGTTACTGTTTTTTGGCATGTGGAATATGCCACGAGGAGCTTGCCAGGCTCTGTCATGCAGGTGGGATTCTCTCAGTAGCTTGCTGGGCTCTCTGAGAGGGACGGAGGAATCGAACCCTGGACGGCCGCATGCAAGGCAAATGCCCTACCCGCTGTTCTATCGCTCCAGCCCATGTATAATAGAAATAACCCAATTAAACATTCAAATTGCAGCCAAAATCAGTGTTAAGGCTCTGGAAAAGATGGTGTTTACCAGAGATAAAGGAGATTAGGGCTGGGTAGAGTGGATAGAGAGAATCCTTGGCATAGAGTGATTGTACAGGAACTTTTGTGGTGTTTGAAATGATTTGTCTGCACAAACAGATGTAATCCCATGCCCCCATTTTGTAGTATTAGAAATTAATGAAAATAAGCAATTTTTATGTAAATCTATTCATTGGAAACCAGAAAAGCTTCCCACAATCCCCTTATAAATCCAAGATTTTGCTCTGTTTAATGAAAACTGTCTTCTCAGCATGGCTCTTTTTTTTATTCTAGTAAGTAATTCTTTTAATTAACCTTTATTTCAGATAGTGAGTGATTTCTCCCTAGCCACTGGAAATATGTAAGGAGATCAGAATGTACTATTATCAACAAATGCATTTAAAAAAGCTTTCTTGGGTCTGGAGCGATAGTACAGCAGGTGGGGCATTTGCCTTGCATGCGACCTACCCAGGTTCGATTCCCAGCATCCCATATGGTCCCCCAGAACCGCCAGGAGTAATTCTTGAGTGCAGAGTCAGGAGTAACCGAGCATCGCTCGGTACCCCCCCAAAAAAAAGCTTTCTCATAGAATGTCCATGCCATGTTAAGACATGACCTGAAGGAGAGTGGCTATGTGTTCATACCCTATGAATACTCAGAGGATGAGGGAGGGAGGGAGGCCTGCAAAATGGCTTCTGAGAGGCATGAAAGGTCATAGTAACACAAACAGCACATCATAGTAATCAACGACCCTGGTATTCTCAGGTAAGTGAAAACTCTTGGGTGAAACAGAGGTCTGAGGAATCTTTCCATAGAGACCATCCCAGTGACAGGAGAGGTGGCCCTTCTTAACCACCTTCATATCTTCCAGGGTCCACTGGAATTAATTACCGTAACTTTAGGTTGAGTTTTGTCTTCTATTCACTGTATCACTTTATCACTGTCATCCTGTTGTTCATTGATTTACTCAAGCAGGTTCCAGTAATGTCTCCATTCGTCCCAGCCCTGAGAGTTTAGCAGCCTCTCTTTACTCGTCTTTCTCAACGACTGTATTGGAATCTCTTTCAGAGTCAGGGGAATGAGACCCATTATTGTTACTGTTTTGGGCATATTGAATACGCCACAGGTAGCTTACCAGGCTCTACCATAGTTGCATAATTGTTCTCTATTACTTTTCCAAATCACATATCACATTCCCACTGCTACTCACATCAACAGCTTTGTGGCTTCTTGAAGTTGTGTCTGAAAAACTAGGTCACCTTCTCATAGTAGGCCTTAACACTCTCGTAGAGCAAGAACCCTTGTAGTTCCCCCCAGTTTAATTGAATCCAGGTCTTTGGACACTAGTTTTGAAGTTTGTATAGATACATTTGACAGACTGTTCCATGAGTTAGTGTTGAATTGGCTACCCTGTACCTGTCTATAAATTTTATCTTTTGACCTCGTATCTTGACCAAATGAGATCCTGGCACTAACCAACTTAGAGGCCAGAATCTCACCCCACAGCAGTTATTTTCTTTTTAAAATATCCCCTCATAATTGTACTCTCTACAAAACTTCATCATGATGAAGAATTGAGTCAAAGACTTACAGTTTTTATATTTACTCCAGGTCCAAGTTGGGATAAAACAAGAATTGTTCAATTGTAAGGGTTCCAGAGCTATTGCTATGGTTCCCACATTGGAGTTGAGTGCAGCAGGTTTAGAGAGTTTTATCATCATCACATCATGTTGCAGGGAATGTGAGTTGAATTCAGGGTAGCGCAGTGCCAACGAGTAATTTCGTATCTGTTCTTGCTCGTTTATGACACTGGGTTGATAAACTCCCAGTCGGATTGTTGTGCTATAGAAGAAGGAAGAAAAAGGGAAAAAATGGAAGAGTCACATAAGGTCATAACTGAAAGAACTGTCAGAAATGTCCCCATTTATCTAACTTTTATTTACTTTTTGTTTTATTCCATTTTATTTTTCAGTTGTTATTGTGGCATCATGAGTTAATTCTATTTTAATTTTCTTAGCCCTGACTTGACTTGATCTAAAATATCTAATAGCAATAGTTTACAGGTTGATTGTATTAGTTATGTATAAATCTGGCATAAAATTTAGCACCAGAATGCACTTAGGAAGTCTGCAGTAGTATTGTAAGTACTACTGTCCTCCTATTGTTCATCGATTTTCTCAAGCAGGCACCAGTAGCATCTCTATTGTGAGACTTGTTGTTACTATTTTTGGCATATCGAATACATCACAGGTAGCTTGCCAGGCTTTGCCATGCGGGCGGAATACTCTTGGTAGCTTGCCAGGCTCTCTGAGAGGGGTGGAGAAATCAAACCCAGGTTGGCCGCGTGCCAGGCAAACACCCTACTCGCTATGCTATTGCTCCAGCCCAGGAAGTCTGTAGCACTGTAGCACTGTCCTCCCATTGTTCATGGATTTGCTCAAGCGGGCCCAGTAACATCTCCATTGTGAGACTTATTGTTACTGTGTTTGGCATATCGAATATGTCATGGATAGCTTCCCAGGCTTTGCCGTGTGGGCGAGATACTCTGGGTAGCTTGCTGGGCTCTTGCACATGACGATCCTGGCCAACCCGAGTTGGATTGCCCTGCCCCCCCTCGGAGAGCCCGGCAAACTACCGAGAGTATCGTGCCCGCACGGCAAAGCCTGGCAAGCTCCCCTTGACGTATTCAATATGCCAAACACAATAACAAGAAGTCTCACTATGGAGACGTTACTGGGCCCTCTTGAGCAAATTGATGAACAACGGGAGGACAGTGGACAGTGCAGTGACAGTTATGAGATATTTGTGTTATTTGAAACCAGGAAGTCTAGTTATAAAAATAATTGCTATTTTTATTAACCTAATAAAATAAGAATGTAATGGAGGAGGAATTACAATTGAACCATGGATTCTCAAGACTTAAAATGCTCACTGGTCAATTCTATTCCCTGGACAAACTCACTGCCATCTCTAGAATTTCAGTCATTCAGCACATATGTGGATACATGACTGACTCAAAACTGTTTGGGTCTGGTAGTCTAACTGGTAGAAGAACATCCAAGTTTTCCATTTCAATTATTTGAGAAGTTGAACCATCTCATATATTTCCCAAAATATCTGTGGAGGTAAGGGTACTCTTAAACAATTTACTGTTTGAGCATTTCCAACTTGGAAATCATCCTTATATGCTTCTGAAGGGCTGGAGCAATAGCACAGCGGTAGGTCGTTTGCCTTGCACGCAGACAATATGGCCGACCTGAGTTCGATTCTTCCGCCCCTCTCGGAAAGCCCGGCAAGCTCCCGAGAGTATCGCGCATGCACGGCAGAGCCTGGCAAGCTACTCGTGATGTATTCGATATGCCAAACACAGTAGCAACAAAGTCTTCAATGGAGACATTACTGGGCCCGCTCGAGCAAATCGATGAACAACGGAAGACCGTGACCGTGATGCTTCTGAAACTTGGAAGAGGTCTGTCTGAATCACAAAGCTCATTCTCACCCATCACAGGGCCACTTATGTTTTCCAAAGACCCATTCTTCTGTGAACTTTTTGCTTGCCCTATTCCTATGACCTGATCCTACAGCTTCTTGCAATCTCCTCAACTTCGTCCTATGACCACCCTCCAACACATTTTATTGAATCAACCATACTATCTAGTTGGCCAAATACTTGAACATCTTTGCTACAATTTAGAAATATCCTGAATCCTGTTCATCTGCTCAGAAATGCCCCTACCCTTTATTCACCTCCTCCTCTTCTTATTGATCTCATCCTTTCCAAGAGTCCTCACTTGACCACCCTCATGAAAACACAACTCTAATTTTTGCTCTCCTACATTAACGTTGACCAGTTTGTTGTTGTTGTTGTTGTTGTTTTGCTTTTTGTGTCACACCCAGCGATGCACAGGAGTTACTCCTGGCTCTACACTCAGGAATTACTCCTGGCGGTGCTCAGGGGACTATACAGGATGCTGGGAATCAAAGCCAGGTTGGCCACGTGCAAGGCAAAAGCCTTACCCACTGTGCTATTACTCCAGCCCCAAAAGTTGACCAGTTTTTTGTTTTGTTTTGTTTTTAGTTGACCAGTTTTTAAGGAATAAACAAACATAGTCATTGACTAACATCCTCTGCCAGAATGTAAGCTTCTCAGGAAACATCTACTTCCAATTTGATCTCTCCCAGTTTTCTCAGTGCTTTAAATATTCTAATATATTGAATGAATGATGAATGAATATCATTTATTTGCTAAATTACCATAGGCTGTATGCCTTTTCCTATTGTGATGAATGTCCTCTTTTCTCTGGGGTTTTTATAATCCCTTTAGGATGCCACTAAAATAATCTGGGGTGTCTCACCTTGCCTGACTTTGTTTAAACAGACACCTGCCTCCTGCATCATTCCCAAGAGCAGAGGGATACTTACGGTAAGGGGCAGTGCGCAGCTGTCAGTACCCACTGAGGATGAATGAGAGACCCAATACAGGACTTTGGGGTGGACTGAAGATAGACCATGTAAGGAATGCCATAATCTGCTGGTACCTCAACCTTTTTGTTTGTAGTATCTGATGCCATAATGACTCCTAAAGATTCAGTGGGGTTATAGGCACAAAGAAAGACAATAAAGTTGAGCAGACAAACCAACCAAAATATGTTGAGAGATGAGTTAGCTAAGGAGGTTTTGCCCTAAGTTTTTAACAGACAATATCCAAGTTTTCAATATTTTATGTTTTCTATGGTCTTTGGGGGGTCACACTAAGTAATTTTCAGAGGTTACTCCTGGCTCAGTGCTCAGAGATCATTCCTTCCAGGGCATCGTGGACAATATTTGGTGCTGGGGATCAAACCCAAGTCAGCCACCTGCAAGGCAAGCATATACCCACTTCACTATCTTTGTGATCCCTTAAATATTTTGAAAATTCAGAAAGGAACCTCCATGTCTCCACCTTAAAAAGACAAACACATCTCACTGAGTGGTAGAGAAGTAAATTTATGTTCTGTGAAATTAGCACATGGAGTTATTTCAAGCTGATCAGAAACTTGCTTTGCTGATTGTCTATCACAACATGAAAAAATGAATTTTTGTATGTACTTTTGGCAAATGTGTAAATAAAACATTAAATATGCCCTGATGTTGTTGGGGAAAGGAATGAACACAAGGCAGGGATGGAAGCTTCTAGTGCTGCTGACCCAGCTCATATGTCTGCCTTACTCCACTGCCTCTAAGCCTGTCTGCCCGGGAAAAGCAGCCATACAGAAAGTCCCCACTGGAGTCCCAGCAGTGCCTCAGGCTCCTCTGCTGACATGCTAACAGGCTCCTGGGCTCCAGGGGCGTGCAGAGAACACACTGAAAGCTGTGTGGGAAGAATGTCTCCTCAGGTTCCTTCAAGAGTCAATTGCCTTTGGACTTGCCCCTCGCTTGCTGGCTGTGTAGGTGTGGTTTTCCATGTCCTTTTCCTACTCTTTTGTTGTATATCAAATGAAAGTGTTTTAGGCTTCGTCAATGAACTGCTCCTTTTCCTCCCCCTAGAGAATCTTACAGTGCTCTTTTGAACACCTCTAATCCCACTAGTTTTTCTTTAACATTTCCTTTGTGCTTTACCTCTCATTGTCACAATTCCCCAAGTAGGTTGGTACTTATAAGTCAAACTTTTTGATAACTCCGGACTTTGTATTTGTAGTGAATTACTTGATTTTCTATTTCCCTTTTAACCTTTATTTCCCTTCCTTCCTTCCTCCCTTCCTTCCTTCCTTCCTACCTTCCTACCTTCCTTCCTTCCTTCCTTTTTCTTTCTTTCTTTCTTTCTTTCTTTCTTTCTTTCTTTCTTTCTTTCTTTCTTTTATTTTTGGGTCACACCCAGTGATGCTCAGGGATTACTCCTGGTTCTGACTCAGGAATTACTCCTGGTGGGACCACATTGGATGACAGGGATCCAACCCAGGTCAGCTGCTGCAAGGCAAATGCCCAATCCACTGTACTATCTTTCCAGTCATCCCTTGTAACCTTTAATATTTTACTCTAGAGCAATATTATTTGCTTAAACATAGAAATATCATTAATGCCATGTTTCTAATATTTGGGAGTTGGTTGACTCATTAATGCCATGTTTCTAATATTTGGGAGTTGGTATCTACTCCTGGGTACCTCTCAAAATTACTTGACTCAGGTTTCGGTTGTCATTGCTCCTAACACTCCACAAAGGGAAGTCCCCCCATGGCACTGGTATGGGCCCAGGGAGAGGAGTGAATCTACTTTGGCATCGAAATGGGACAGTCTCTAGAAAGCATAAAAAAATGGTCTTGATGCAAGATTATGATTTAGAATCAGGACCCCTAACGGGAAGAACAAGCTGGACCAGCCCGAGGACTTGGTCTGCAATTTACAGTAAAATACTTGCTTGCCCTCAGAGTCCAGAGAACTAAGTTTTGGAATCTATATCTCTTACTGTGTTTATGAAAATAGCTGCAAGTATTATTAAGAAGTACTTACTTGTTTAATATGTACAACTAAAGGGAAAGAGAAAAGTAATACATATGTCCCTGGGAGACGGAGTGTCTCCTTGAGTTAATCCTCTCAAGAGAATTGCTTCCATTGAAGCACTTTATTAAATTGATCAATCACTTCTCTGTGCAGTCATATCTTGAACACCCATTCTATAAGTATCCTAACTGCTCTCCATTAAACATGCCATTTTGGTCATCAGTCTGTGGTCCCCCCATTTCCTTATTCCTCTGTTGGGGAATCCAGGAAGGCAATTCTTGGCCACTTAATGCACACATAATGCTTCTACCACTTGAACTCACAGCGTCCATGATTCTACTCCTTTCTTTTTTAATTAATTAATTTTCTTACTTGTAATTACCACTTTTTAAAAAAACTTTTTTAATTAGCGAAACACCTTGAGGTACAAACTTTCGTGTTTGCATTCCAGTTACACAATGATCAAGTACCCATCCCTCCACCAGTGTCCATTCCCCTTCACCAATGATCCCAGTATCCCTCCCAACACCCCTTTCCCATCCACATCACCCCACTCCACCTCTGTGGCAGGGCATTCCCTTTTGCTCTCTCTCTCCTTTTGGGTGTTGTAGTTTTCAATAGAGGTATTAAGTGGCTATCATGTTTGGTCCATAGTCCTCTTTTAACCCACATCTCCTATCCCGAGTGTCAGTCCATTTCTTATTGAAAAACAAGGTCCTAGACTCACCAGCTGTGCTCACAAAAACGAAGATGAGAGTGAATTTCATTTTCAGTCTGCTATCTTACCAGTAGCATACATGCAAGACAAACTGCAGTTCTCTGGATCTCAGGTTCTAGTGTTCTCAGCCAAAATAACCTGGGGAGAAATGGAAGCTGGGGCTTGGAGAGAGAAGAGGATCTTACTGAAGACTTCAAATAAGTTCTTCTTAAGGCCCAATTATTTAAGGTTGGAGTTTTTTCTGGTGTTAAGTCAAAGAAAGAAAGAGACCAAGCCAAAAATCTTCCCAGGAATTCTGAGGCGGCCCAGTGACAGTTTGCTCATCCTGTCTGTGACATAGACTTCCTTTATTGTCTCCTCCTCCCTTTGTGACTTGAACCTGTTACCTTGCCCCCTCTCCCCTTCTTCCAAGGACTGTTATGCTGAGAGATTCATCGGTCATTGGAGTCTGAAGGAAATGCAGTAAATCCTTTCTGCAGAACTAACTAAATCAGAACTAACTAAAACGAAATACGGGGACTCACATCCTGTTTGCTGACCATGTCTTACATTTCTTAAAGAAAGCTATGGCCCTCATGTTTGAGCCAAGCTCAGGACATGGAACAAAGTCTCCAGATGTTCTATGACATGCTGACCTGAGTCCTGTGCTCCCAGGAAAGAGTGGTGGGTAAACCACCATTTGGTGTTCTGGGAAATGACTTAAACAACAGAGTACACCTTCCCAGGGAGTTAAGAGAAGATCTCTGCTCTTCCTCAGGACTTCCATGAGTCCCAAGGTGATCCCTAATTTATCTGTGGCAAGATCAAACACAAAGACCATTGTGATCAGATAAAATCTGCAATTCCCCCTACTTTGTCTCATGAACAATTAGCTGATTTTGGAATCTAACTCAGAACTAACTAAAACTAAACATAGGAACTCACTTCCTGTTTGCTGACCATAACTTACATTTCTTACATTGCAAAAACAATCCCAATTATTTAGTCTCTCCCTACCTTGTCTATAAGTTGTTCATTTGTCCCTGTAAATATTAAGGCTAGTCTATCATCCTAGAACATTGAGATATCCAGGTGTGGGGTGCTCTAACAAACTGAATAAGATAAATCTTGTTACTTTTAATGTTTAGGTTTTTTTTTTAAAAAAAACTGTTGATACTTTTTACTTTGATACTTTATAATATATCAGCTTCCTTTCAAAAAGTTAGTTTTAGGCAAAGAATGTTCCAACCCTACATCTACCTGAAATTATTGTTACTGTTACTGTGTCTGGCATATCAATTATTATTATTATTATTATTAACAGTGTTGTAAATCATAGTGCCTAAAAAACAAACAAACAACAACAACAACAAAACCAGAGATACAATGACTAATAAAAGAGGGGCAAGTGATAGTACTTTTCAGAATTTACTTAACACAAAACCCACCTGGGTTGACCCTGGGACTGCATCTGGGGGCTGGAGTGATAGCACAGCTGTAGGGCGTTTGCCTTGCTCGTGGTCTGCCTGGCCAACCGGGTTCAAATCCTCTGCCCCTCTGGGAGAGCCCAGCAAGCTACCGAGAATACCTCGCCCGCATGGCAGAGCCTGGCAAGCTACCTGTGACATATTCGATATGCCAAACACAGTAACAAGTCTCACAATGGAGATGTTACTGGGCCTGCTCAAGCAAATCGATTGAACAATGAGAGGACAGTGCTACAGTGCTACCAGGAATGAATGATCCTTGAACATAGAGCCAGGAGTAAGTTCTGAGCACCATGGGGAATGGCTTCCAAAACCAAAAAAGAAAATAATAATACTATTAAATATATTGGAGCGATAGCACAACTGATAGGGCCTTTGCCTTGCACGCAGTCAACATGGACGACCCGAGTTCAATTCCTCCGCCCCTCTCAGAGAGCCTGGCAAGCCACCGAAAGTGTCTCTCCCGCAGGGCAAAGCCTGGCAAGCTACCCGTGACGTATTTGATATGCCAAACACAGTAACAACAAGTATCACAATGGAGACGTTACTGGGCCCGCTCGAGCAAATCGATGAACAATGGGAGGACAGTGACAGTGATTATAAATTAATAAATTGAAATTACAGAACTGAAGAGATAGTGCAAGGGTTAAGGTTACCTTGCATGTAGCTACCCCCTCCAGAAGTGATTCCTGGTGCTAGAGCAATAATACAGCCGGAAAAGTGTTTGCCTTGCATGGCCAAACCAGGTTTGGTTTCAATATCCCCTGAGCACCTCCAGGAGTAATTTATGAGTGCAGAGCCAGGAGTACCCCTGAGCATTTTGGGGTGTACACTATCCCTCCCCCTCAAAAAAACAAAAACAAAATAAAAATGATCCATGAGCATAGAACAGGGATAAACCCCGAGGAAAGTTGGGTGTGGTCCCAAATCCCTTCCTTGAAATAAAAATTTACAGTCAGTCTTGTTTTAATTTAAGATAAATTAGTATTTTTCAATAAACCATGATAATCCTTGGCTCACAAAAGTTATAATTGTTATTTCAAGTTTCGTATCATTGTTGTTGACTAAAATCCAGCAATTTTTTATCTCTAGAAGCAATACTTCTAGAAGAATAAAGGTCATACATATTTTTTCCAACAAAGATTAATAGACAGAAAAAAAGAAGAAGTACATAAATATTTTTAGAATACCCTCAAAAATATGTCCTAAATAGTAGGCTCATTCAACGATATTGGTCTATAATTTCCTTGTATAATTCCTTTTGGCCTATATATCCGGCTAGTGCTAGCCTAGGAGAATGAGTTTCGAATCATTCTTTATTCTTCCAATTTTTTTTTGAAATATTTGAGAAGAATTGATCTTTATTCTTTTTTAAATGTTTGGTAGAGTTTTTCAGTGACGCCACCTAGTCCTGGAGATTTTCGAGTGATATATATATATCTATTTGCGGCCGCGCGACATCTTATCAGGACATCTTTTTATGATATCTTATTATCTCATTCCTACTTTGGACAAACTTGCAGGCTATCGAATGTAGCCTGCCCACAGGGCAGAGTCTGGCAAACTCCCCATGGCGTACCAAATATGCCAAATACCAGTAACAATGATGGGTCTCATTCTCCTAAAGAGCCTTGAATATAATCTCAGGGCTAGGATGAAAGAGATGTTACTGGGGCCTGCTCGAGGCAATCGACGAATAACAGGATGATGAATGAATGAATGAATGAATGAATATATATATATTTAATTTTTATTAGTGAAACACTGTGGGGTACAGTTGTAGACTTACAAACTTTTGTGCTTGGGTTTCAGTTATACAATGATCGAGTACCCATCCCTCCACCAGTGCCCATTATCCTTCACCAATGAACCCAGTAACCCACCCCCCCCACCTCAGCCCCGCCCCCCACCACTGCCCTGCCTTTGTGGCAGGGAATTCCCTTTTGCTCGCTCTTTTGTGCAGGGTGTTGTGGTTTGCAATAGAGGTATTGAGTGGCCATCATGTTCAGTCTATAGTCTACTTTCAGCACACATCTCACAACCCGTGCATGTTATTTCCTTTACTTGGTATTCCCTTCTCTATCTAAGCTGCCTTTTCCCCCAGAATCTACTGCCAGCTTCTTCCAAGCAATGGAACAGACCTCCTGGTACTTATCTCAGCTATTCTTGGGTGTTCGTCTGCCATTCTGTTACTTTATATTCCCCAGATGAATACAGTCTTTCTATGTCTCTCCCTCTATTTCTGACTCATTTCACTTAGCATGATACTTTCCATGTAGAACCACTTGTATGCAAATTTCATAACTTCATCTTTTCTAACAACTGCATAGCATTCCATTGTCTAGATATACCAAAGTTTCTTTAGCCAGTCGTCTGTTCTAGGTCACTAGAGTTTTTTCCAGATTTTGGCTATTGTGAACAGTGCAACAGTGAACATACAAGTGCAGATGTTATTTCGACTGTACTTTTTTTGAGTGCGATATTTTTTATTAAATTTCTTTGTTTAATCATTGCCCTGGTCAGATTTCAAAGTAATTGGAACATTGAATTTTAATGGCAAGTGGCAAATGTAATATGAATGTGAAATAAAATTATTGTAACCTTTAGATATCCATATTTTCAAAGTCACTGGGAACAGTTTTATTTTAATGTCCCTTTTCTGTGAATATTGTAAGACCCTTCAATTTTTTAACATGTTCATTTTTACTACATAACAATGAAGACTGTAGACTCAGGAATCTAGCTATTAGGGTTCAATTTCTGGTTTTAGGATTTACAAGCTGTCTTATCTTAAAAAGACCATTTAACATCTTTAAATTCAAGTATTTTCAGATTTCAAATGGAAGTAATTATTAGTATTATCTCACAGATAATTGTCAATACTGACTATCATTTAAGAGCCTGAAAACATCATATAGCGTTTAGGAAATGATGAATACTAGTGATGATTACATTTTCCTTATACAAAATAGAGAAATAGTGAGTACTAAGAAGGAAACAAAGACTTCAGTGTGACCCTAGCTCACAGAATTTTGGCAACAGCACATTTCTGGAACAAAGTTCCTTCTGACATCAAAGATTTAGAATTATTGAATGCCTGTAGATATAAGCTAGAGTAAAATCTGTATTCAACACTTTCATGTCTTCACAGTACTACATCTATTTTCTGAAAATTTATCTGTGCTTTTACGAGTTTTTTGCTTCTATAATACTCTATAATGTTTATTAAATTTCTTTAATAATATTCTATTATTCAAAATAATACATAATTTAGCTGGAATTCGGGGGTTATTTATGGTAGGAGGGGACAGACAGTGGACTCTGTGCCAGCTATAGCAATGCAATTCCAGTGCAAAAACAGGCAAGAGCTTAGAAATTGGAAGACATAACTAAATGAAATCATGAAAAGAACAAGATTACTGGCAATCTTAAAAGTTTTTATAGTTTATAAAGCTTCCGTTACATAGCTTTATAAAATTTCACATATTTTAAGAGACAATAAATAGAGTCTTTTGGCAGCAGTTGTTATGCACTGGACATCAGGCCAGCCTGGGCTTTGTCTCAGCTTTACCATGAACTAATTGAATAATATTGGGCAACTGAATGTGACTTTCAATTTCAGTGTCAGTATCTACTTAAAAATAAGATGATAATAGTGATGACAGTCTTTCTGTTATTAAGATCCTACAAAGTCTATAACATACTAAGTGATTAGAAAAACAAATTTGTGTGATGGATCACCACTATTAAGTCAATCAAATTGACATCTTCAGTCTTCCAGCAGGGCCTATGGCAAGGAAGGAGACAGATGCGTGGTTTGTCTAGAAGGCAAGTCAGTCTAGACAGTCCCAAATTGAAGGCCCTTGACCTTTTTATTGGGTACATCTTCCATTTCACTCTTCCCCCTCAACACATGCACCATTCATGATGAATCAGTTCATAGAACAAAGGATAAATCGTTAATGCATGTATGGGAATGGGGAATATGCATGGGGACAATGGGAATGCTTTGCTCTTGGATGAAACTTTTCCTGACAAGTTGTCTATATTGCTACTCCAGTTGACCAAAGTCTGATCTCATCATAGAAGATGTTTCCTACTTAGGTCTGAACTTTCCCTTAGCTTGCTTTACTCAGACAAAGCCCATATCTTACAATTGGAATTTAAGGGGCAATTTTCAAGTTTTAAAATTAGGTTGGTGACTAAGGATAGTAGATACATGGGACAGATAGATTGCTCTGTAACTGGAAGCCTGCATCATGCGCAAAGGGGAGAAGGCAGCTGGAATAGAGAAGGAATCACTAAGAAAATGATGGTTTGAGGAACCGGTCGGGATGGGAGATGTGTGCAGAAAGGAGATAAAGGACCAAACATGATAACCTCTCAGTGTCTGCATTGCAAACCATAATGCCCAAAAGTAGAGAGAGATTATGAGGAATATTGTCTGCCATGAAGGCAGGGAGAGGGCGGGAAAGGGGGTTATACCGGGGATATCGGTAGTGGGGAGTGTGCTCTGGTGGAGGAATGGGTGTTTGATCATTGTGTGATTGTAACCTGAAAGCTTCTAACTATCTCATGGTGATTCAATAAAATTAAAAAAATGAAAATAAATAAAATTAGCTTGGTGAGTAAGTAAGCTTTAGATTATATCTTAATGTCTTGGTCTACGTCAATCCTGTATCTATCTTTATATTGATCTGTCTGTTGCATGTATAAGTTCACAAACCAAAAAATGACAATGGTTCTTCATATATTTAGGAGAAATGGCTTTATTTATAGACCAATTTCAGACATAGCAGAATGAATTTGATTGGGTGAGGGATGAGTCATGAAGAGACAAAGTATTTAGTTGGAAGCCATAGTCTGCTTAATCCAGCTCACGTAGTTGCAAACCCTGGTGTAGACACCGGGTTTGCCCTTCAAAGCACAGCCGTAGCCCCAGGAGACGATACCCTGGAGTTCTCCATTGCAGACCACGGGGCCACCAGAGTCACCCTGAGTAAGAGCAAAGGGACAGTTAGAATTCCCCGAATTCTCCAGATGGTAGAAGGCTCAAAGGGGTTCCTCTATTGCCACGGGGTCATCTTCCCAAGCTGACAAATTTTCAAGAAACACTTCTAATCCCTTGAAATCTAACCCTCCTTTTTCATTTCTTAGTCATTCTTTCTCCTTCCTACTCCCATATTCTCTTTTCTTACTTGCAAACGGTAGGCCCCCAAATAGGTGAGAACTATTATAGGGAGTTGAATGTTTCCCAGCAGGCCTTTCCCCATTCAAAGACCCTTTTTGTAGTAAGCCACCTGAAAGGGGCAATGGGAGGTACAGTTTGCACATAATTTTCTGTGTCTTTTTGCTCTGAACCCTAAACATTGATAACACAAAAATAAAACTCATCATTCATCCAAAGCTACTTTTCCCCACAATCTATCCCCGGAACACCCTTTCACATTTCCTTGTCTGGAAAGGGAAAAAAGAGTCGAGATGCATGAGACTGAGCTGGGTAAAAGAGTAAAGAAAGGAACCTGGCAAGAGTCCTTTCCGCCCTCCAGGAAGCCCAGGCACATCATGTTGTTGGTGATTTGGCCAGGGTAGGCATTGCGGCAAGTGCTGTCAGACAGGATGGGGGCATTCAGGCACTGCAGGAGCTCAGGGTAGTTGCCTGTTGGTACAAGAGTGCAAATAGATTACCCGGAGGTTTCCCGGACATTGCTTTCTCATTATCTCTCCTCTCTATCTCAAAATCCCTGTATTTTCTTTAGGGTAGCCAATAAATGGAAGGTCTTCCAAACTATTCTATTTTCTCTCTGACACTAGAAACAGTGACAGATATCAAACCAGAGACTGTTTCTAAAATATACTGAATAACATAACAAACAGGTACAGGTTTAGACCTCTGGCAGTAAATGTACTATCCTCTGTTCTGTTCACGTTCTCAGTTTCTAGTTCTCTGAAAATCACTCACCACACTTCATGTGAAGATGTACAGACATCTTTGCCATAGCAGGTTTTTGTTGCGTTTTAGCAAAGGAATTTTTCTAATTTCAATGATTATATTACAAGAACTCATATATGCACTTCTCTCTGCAAATCTTGCTCTGAGTGACAGTTTGGACTAGTGACCCTCAGCTTGCCTTTCACTGCTGATTTTCTTATGCTAGTTGCTTCTATTCCAGGCAACACTTACTGCCACTGCTCATGGTGTTTCCCCAGCCAGAGATGAGACACTTGGTGCCAGCAGGTGCGCAGGAAGTGGGCAGAGAGACGGTGGCCACTCTGGCGTTGAAGGTGGCGGGGGTGCTCAGCTTGATCAGCATGATGTCATTGTCAATGGTGTTTCCATTGTATTTGGGGTGGCGGATGATCTTGGCGGCGTTGATGAACTGCTCATCACCCTCAAGGACCTCGATGTTGTGCTCTCCCAGACGCACCTGGATGCGGCTATATTAAACACACACACACACACACACACACACACACATATACACACAATTAGTGTTCTGTAGCTGTCTAACTCCAGCTTCTTCTCCTTACCCAAAAAAACCCAATCAAGACCAGTAGTGCAGACACCAACCCCTAAGTGTTCATTAACACAGGTATCTGGGTTAGTCCTTTATAAGCAATTCTATCTACAAGTGTGCTTCTAGGGAGTTACCACAAAGCATGGGCTCACAACACACCATCTCCCTAGACTACTGAAGCATGGGACTGTGAGCCATCTGACCCAAATCAGATAGTGACAGGTAAAGAGGAAGATAAAATTGGTGGCAATTGATTGGCACTTCTTAGGCTACCACCACTGTTGGGAGATGCGATGGCAGAGAAATGAGAGACTCTTTTTTGGAGAATAGGTCTTTTCCATATGTTGTAGAGAAAATGCCTTGTGTTTTGTAACCACCTATACCATCTTTTCCCTGATTATGAGTCTTTACTTATTAATGCTTATAAGCCACTTATCAGGATACCTAGGACTCTCTCCACGTTACTACATGAGTCCCAAAATATCAATCTAGTGCTGGGGGCATAGGGTATACTTGAGAGTTTTGGAATCTCAGTGCTCACGCACTCCCCTCCCCAGTCCAAATCAGTTAAGAACTCTAAAGGTGCTATGGCAGGAGATGATCACAGTGAACAGGGATATAAACATTGGTCACTTACGACTTGTAGCAGTGAGCAGCAGACACGACCCACTGGCTGTTGATGAGGGAACCACCGCAGAAGTGGTAGCCAGAGTTCAGGGACACCTGGTAGGGGATGGAATTCCTGCCACAGGTGTAACCCCCGACGATCTTGTCATCATCGTCAGCGGGGAAAGCAACTGGTGGAGAAAAGTTGCAAACTCTTATACATACCTATCTCAGAAGATACTTCTAGCACTCATATTTTTGCAATTAACCGGAAGAGAGTAGACATTGTTCCCTTACCTCATCTGATCAGGAAATAGTGGATTTAAAGTAATTTTTGAAGACCTATTTCTCTGCATGCGACACACGAGCTAATGTGTCTAATTTTTGTTTTTGTTTTGGGGATACACTCCACTGTGCTCCAAAAGCCAGAACTTACTCTTGACTCTGTGCTCAGGAATCATTTCTGGCAAGCTCAGGGGACCATATAGGGTACCAGCGACAGAACCCAGGTTGGCTTCTTGCAAGGCAAGTGCCTTATCAGCTATAATATCTGTTTGGTCTCTAATATTTTTTAAATGAAATGAATATACTCCTTTCATATCACAATCAAATAAATGCATAATCACACACCCACCTTCAGATGCATCAGGAACTGTTTTATACAATAAATGCTCTAAACACCACAAAGTTAAATAAAGTTTTTACCCACAAATTCTTGATCAAAAGTCTTATAACAGGTGATCAACCTATTTACAGAAACCCTGTCCATTTGCTATGGTAAGTATAAGGTCGATGTACACATGATTTGACATAAATGAGACTTTGAGAGATGATCTGAACATCTAATTTTCTAAAAGGGAACGTAGACTTTAAATTACTGCTCTCCAATTCCTTTTTGTGCTTTTTGCTAAACTTATTACAGAATAATTTCATAAAGCGTTATACAAATCCTTCTCCTAACTCCAATGATCTTTCTAGCACTTCTCAATTTATTCATCACTGTGATCTGGTCTGTAAATTTATTCAGATTTCTTCAACTTCTGGAATTCTATATTATTATTCTATATGCTTTATTTTTCAAGCAATTTAAAGTCATTTAGGAAAAGGCTTTCTAGAATAAAGACACGTAGGTTTAATGTATACTTGCTCAATTTGAGCAAAGTTGGAAATAATTTTGAGCAGTATAAATCTAGCACATGAAACATTTTAAAATTTAGAGCCCGAAAATCATACAGAAGTTAAGGAGAATATCTAGCTGAGTCCAACCCAGTTGGATTTCTGGTACCACATAGTCCCCTGAGCACCACCAGATGCAGGTTTGGAGATCCCAAGAGCTTGGGGGGATTGTCTGTGTATCTCCATTACTACAGGGCCCATGTAACATCATATCTCTGGGCCCTTTCACTCATCCACTGGCCTTGCTGGCTGAGAATTGCCGATGGAACCAGTGACTCCTTGAGAGGTCAGAGTAAATAGATACAAAAATAAAATAAAATCATTGTCTTATTTCTTTTTCTAGTGGAGTGATGTCTTATACACAGGAAAATTCTTAGCATTTTATTGTAAAACTCAGCTCAAAGTCCTCATGCATGAGAAATAAAACATCTTTGCTGGGCTGAGTAGATAGTCTAAGCACATGCCTGAGACACATGCAAGACCTGGGCTTGGTCTCTGCACCGCATGGCCTCCAGACCATGTCCAGGTGCAACTCTAGAATAGCCCCAGCATCTCCAGGTGTGACCCCAGAGGCCCTAAAGTTACTGTTGGAAGACTCTGGTGGTCTCTGGCCCTGCAGGGCTGTAGAGGCATTGCATTCTTGGGCCTTCACATAGATACCAGTTGATTAAGTACCACCAGGAGTGGCCTAATGGACCTCCTGAGCCCTGCTTTGGAGGTCCTTCTACCTCCAAGTGTTTTCCTTGAGACCCCTTGGCCCTTAAATACCCAGAAGACTCAGACTCTTATCCCTGTACCTTCTCAAGACACCCCAAGTTAGATATTAGTCTAATTATTAACCACAAATCCTTACAAAATCAAAACAAACATTCCCTTAATGTTAACTACTATTATCTTGTCTGTTTTTCTTTATGGATTTTACTTTGAAGTTAAAATCGGATTAGGTCCCTGACTACTTTCTACATGAATCGTTCCTTCCTATTGAAGAATTTCCCCAATAAAAGACATTTAGTTATCTATAAAATATCTGTTTAAAGGTCTTGAGTATAGACCCTTATATTCAAATTTCGTTGCTCTCTTCCAAAGTGCAAAAGTGAACCTTTTAAATAATAATAGAAAGTGATTAATTTATTTTTCGGTGAGCTGATAAAATCCTATACTTGTCTCATTGAGAAATGATCATCACCTTAAGTACAATTGGTATCTGCATTGTTCTATAAAATCTTTTTCTTGTGATTCTAACTATACATAGTTAGGGCGTTCGCCTTGTAGGGCATTCGCCTTACAAGCGGCCAACATGGCCGACTCGAGTTCGATTCCTCCGCCCCTCTCGGAGAGCCCGGCAAGCTACCGAGAGTATTCGATATGCCAGACACAGTAACAACAAAGTCTCCAATGGAGACGTTACTGGGCCTGCTCGAGCAATACATATCTATTCTTGATAATTTTCTGATTCAGTTCTTAATATATTGAGTCTCACCAGCGGCTCCCAGGAGAGCGAGGAAGATGAGAGTCTTCATGGTTGCTCACTAGATGTGATACACTGAACAGTTTGCATCCACAGGTATTTATATCTCTAGTTTTGCCTTTGAAACTATGGCCCTGTTGCCAAAAAGGTGACTTTACTGGAAACTTACAAACATGAATGTAGATAATTCAGCACCAAAGTAAACATTCACCTTTGTCTAATTTTCCAAAGGTTATGAGAATGAGTAAATGAAGCCACCTGTTGCAAACTGTTCACCAAAATGGCTAACAAACAGAGAAAGGTCACCAAACAGGGATACCAACAAGTGCTTGGATTCCCAGACACAAATGCAACAAACTTTATTGTCTCAACTGTAAACTTGGACCAGGACACCTTGATGTTTAATTAATATGGACTTTTCACAATGATAAGATGTGGTTCATTGATTACTCTGGTTCTAAAGATCCATGTTCCTATCAAAAAATGAGATGATGAAATGAACAGAAACTTTCTCAAAGAAGAAATCTGAATGGCTAAAAGGCACATGAGTAAATGCTTTTCATCACTAATCATCATGGAGATGCAGATCATAACAACAATGAGATATCTCACACCACAGAGACTGGCCCACATCCAAAAGAACAAAAGCAACTGGTGTTGGTGCAAATGTGGGGAGAAAAGGAATCTCCTTCACTGCTGGTGGGAATGCCGACTGGTCCAGCCCTTTTGGAAAACAGTATGGAAGACTCTCAAAAACTTAGAAATAGAGCTCCCATTTGACCAGCAATACCACTCCTGGGAATATATTTCAGAGAGGCAAAAAAGTACAGTCAAAATGACATCTGCACTTGTATGTTCATTGTTGCACTGTTCACAATAGCCAAAATGTGAAAAAAAAAAACCCAAATGTCCAAGAACAGATTACTGGTTAAAGAAACTTTGGTACATCTACACAATGAAATACTATGCAGCTGTTAGAAAAGATGGTCATAAAATCTGTAAGTGGTTCTACATCAAAAGTATCATGCTAAGTGAAATGAGTCAGAAAGAGAGGGGCAGGCATAGAAGGACTGCATTCATCTAGGGAATATAAAGTAACAGAATGGGAAACGAACACCCAATAATAGCTGAGATAAGTACCAGGAGGTCTTCTAGCTGGAAGTAGATACTGAGGGAAAAGGCAACTTAGATAGAGAAGGGAACACTAAGTAAAGGGTGTTTAGAGGATTTTCTCGAGATGGAAGATGCGTGTTGAAAGTAGACTATAGACCGAACATGATGACAACTCAGTACCTCTATTGCAAACCACAACACCCTAAAGGAAAGAGAGAGCAAAAAAGAATGCCTGCCTCAGAGGAGGGTCAAGGTGGGAGGGGATGGAGTGGAGGGGCCTGGGAGGACTACTGGGTTCATTGGTGGTGGAGAATGAGCACTGGTTACTCGATGGGATGGGCACTTGATCATTGTATAACTGAAACCCAAGCACAAAAGTTTGTAAATCTACAACTGTACCTCATGGTGTTTCACTAATAAAAAAAATTAAAAAAATAAAGATCCATGTTAACTTCAAAATATTAATAGAAACAACTTGGTCCTTGAAAAGGTAAATATTCTTATAAAAACTACAATAATTAAGAACAAAAAATGTAATTTGCACTTATCTAGAGCTTAGTAAATACCATACTTTGGGGTCACTTGGAATCTTTCAATTTTTATTTTCAGGTCTCTCAGTTAGGGGGTCTGAGATTTTGTGTATCTCCCCGTAATAGGAGAGAATTCTACTAAAGTATGGCGATACCACCCACAACCATAGAACTACCCATCTGTTATTGCCCAAGCATCATCTGAGATCCATATTTTTTTTCAGGCATCATCCATTTCTTTATTTGTTTGGGATTTTAGAACCACACCCAGTATTGCTCAGGGGTTACTCGTGGCTTTGTGTTTGGGATTATTTCTTGAGGTGTTTAGGGAAGCAGTTGGGTTGCTGGGGATTAAACTTGATTCAGCTTCATGCAAGGCAAGTGTCCTACCTACTGTACTATCTCTTTGGTCCTTAAGATGGCATTCTTTAACAGGGTTCTACTTTTTTTTGTCCTTTTTTTAATAGCGCAGCGGTAGGGCGTTCGCCTTACAAGCGGCCAACATGGCCAACCCGAGTTCGAGTCCTCTGCCCCTCTCGGAGAGCCCAGCAAGCTACCGAGAGTATTCGATATGCCAAACACAGTAACAACAAAGTCTCCAATGGAGACGTTACTGGGCCCGCTAGAGCAAATCGACGATCAACGGGAGGGCTGTGTGCTGCTGCTATTTTTTTGTTAGTGAAACATCATGAGGTATAGTTGTAGACTTACAGATTTTTGTGCTTTGGTTTCAGTTACACAATGATTGAGTACACATCCCTCCACCAATGGCCATTCCCCACCTCTAATGCTCCTGTAATTCCTCCAAACCCCCACCCCCCATCCCACCCCACCCCTGTGGCAGGGCATTCCCTTTTGTTCTCTCTCTCCTTTTGGATGCTGTGGTTTGCAAAAGAGGCATTGGGTGGCAATCATGTTTGGTCTATAGTCTAGTTTCAGTATGCATGAGATCCATATTTTTGTCGAATGGAAACAACAAATTCCTTGTGCTTCAAAAGTTTCGAATAAATTCTGCATATCTCCTTCATTAACACATTTCTAACACTTTGCAATTGGAAACATTGAGTCTTCTCATATTATAATTGAGAACCACACAGCACAGTAAAAAAATTATATTATCTCAGACTCATCCCTCTACCTTTTTATAAATCACAAGGTATTGCTTGATTACTATTCTCACTTCAGAAATTTGAAGAAGATCTCTCTCTCAAGAGGTCATTAAAGATACCCTTTCTGATGCCTAGAAGATAAGAATCTAAATTCCTTTACCTAACAAGTAAGGACTTTCAGTATTTATCCCTGGCTTAGCTATAAAGTGATTAAGTGATTAAGTGATTATTTTTTCTGTCCTCTATGTGCTACTTATTTTCTATCATCAATTCTTTTATATATTTATTTTATTTTTCTTTATTTTTTCTTTTATCTTTGGTTTTATAATATTATAATCTCTCCTAGGCAGTCAAATTCTGGAGTCACCCACATACCAGAAAGAGTGTCTAATTCTCTCTCTTTCTCCATGAATTTCCTAGATAAAGCTATTCTTATTTCACACAAAAAATTTTCTACTAACTCAGCTATTTCTTTAACAACACATCCCCTTTGTCACTCAAAATGTCTTTTTTCCATACTCACCAAACATGTCATTCATTTGTTTTCAAGCAGTTGTAACTAGATACTTTACAAGACTGGTGGCAAAAAAGTCATATTTACTAAGCCATGCTTAGCATATACACCAGTGTCTTTTAAATACTTGAAGGTTCAGTGATCTTTTTTAATTAAATCACTGTGAGATACACAGTTACAAAACTTTCATTACTGGGTTTCAGTCATACAATGTCCCAACATCCATCCCTCCACCAGTGTACATTTCCCACCTCCAATGTCCCCAGTACTTTTTGAATGAATGAACCAATGCTGGGGATTTTGACAAATTTCACATTGTTTTTATACATTATGTAAAAAGTTACTTTAAAAAAACTTAATTCTTTTTTTAAACTTGATTTCTAGTTGGATTATCGTCAGGAACAAGAATGATCAGGGCTGGAGCGATAGTATAGCAGACAGGGCATTTGCCTTGCATGCAGCCAATCCAGGTTCGATTCCCAGCATCCCATGTGGTCCCGTGAGTACAGTCAGGAGTAATTCCTGAGTGCAAAGCCAGGAGTAACCCCTGTGCATCGCCCAGTGTGACCCAAAAAGCAAAAAAAAAAAGAGAAAAGAATGATCAAAAGCCATTGTGAATCTCATGTAAAGTCATGGAGCCACTACACTGAGGGAATGGGGGTAGAGAGATGCCTCCTTGGGCATTAATGTTTTGCATAATCCATCCTGCATAATGATGAACTTCTGTGAAGAATCCTTGTCTTCCCCAAAGAGACACTTCCTTTTGTCCAGGACAAGATTCCATGCACTCCCCCACCACAGATGACTGGAGAGGCTGCGATTTCCTGCCAGAGAGAAATGGAATAGGAGGTCACACTTGATTTGTCCTCAGAAAAACCAGGTGTAGCAGAGGCATCTCCTGGACTGAACTCATTTCTCTTTTCTTTCTTCTTTCCTCCTGAGCAGTGATTTCAAGTGGTGTTCAGGGAGCCAAGAGGCCACTCCTGGTGAATCACAGCCAACCATGATGGATGGTTGAATACTACTCTCAAAGGATTCTACATACTCCTTGGGCCCTGCAGACCATCTTGGCAATGTTTCGGGGTCTCCAGGACCACACCTAGTAGAGCTGCTTTGGTGGTCTCCAGAACCACACCTAGTGGAACTCCTTGGGGGGTCTCCAGGACGATACCTGGTGGAACTGCTTGGGGGTCTGCAGGACCACACCTAGTGGAGATACTTGGTGAGCTCCAGGTATACACCTAGTGGTGCTCAGAAGTCCATGTGGTGCTGGAGATTGAACTTGGGTCGGATGCATGCAGGCATGCACCTTCACACCTGTTTCTCTTCCAGTGCTCTATCTTCATTTCTCTTAAGAGATAACAATTCTCTTGACAGTTTTGTTATGCAAGGAAGACAGAAATGACAAATGGTTTACTCAGTAATCTTTACCCCCTCAAAATGGATTTTTTTTTAAAAACATAAATATGGTTATTAGGTGCAGAGAGTAGAGGGAAAGGGTACCATTTTATTCCTAATAATGAACTGTCCTAATAATGAATTGTCCTACTCATGGTCTTCTTGCTATTTTCTTGTTGAATTAAAAAATTCTTATTTTTAGACAAGATGTAGTAGATGTTCACACACACATGATGCTTTCTTTCTTCATGTGTTTATTTATTTTATTAAGGCACTCATCACTCGGAAGAATATATTGGTTAATCCAGGTTAGGATATCAGGGCCACAAGCTGTGGAAAAGATAAAATAAAGATTGTCTCTTTCTTTATCACATAACTCATGTGATCAGCATCCTACATTGTAATAACTAGCC